CTTACCCTCTGTGGCCCTGCATGTTGACACACCCTTCAAAACACCTGACCTCCAAATTACCCTCTTCCAAACAGCACCAAGCAACGTGATGATCCCACAGTAATCTACCCATTCCTAGCACGGTGTAGCACAATCACCAACACATCTGTCTCTCACTAGACTGAGATTCTTGTGTGGTGTCTGAGGGATGTCTGTGCTGTCCCAGTGCCCAGTCTACAGGACCCACCCAACAAATGGATTTGCTGTATGAATGAACCCAGTCAAACTCCTTCATTTGTATGAAGAAATTGAGACCAGAGATGTTAAGGGACCTGACCCAGGTAACCCGGCAGTGAGGACCGCAACAACGCGAAGTCGTCCCTGGTGAGGATTCCAAGCCCTGCTGTCCTTTGCAGAGCCCCTCTGACTGTGCACTGCTCATGATGATTGAAGAATGGCTCTTGCAGCATCCCTCCCGAGCCTAGATCCCAAGTCACTTGTTCTCCGGCCTCCTCCACCTAACCTTGTCATCTATTCACTCCCCTCTCCAGGTCCACCATTCAGTGAACTTCGAGACTATGAGCGCACGGAGTCAGGGACATTTAAAGCAAGGCTGATGTTGCGGCCAAACGCCTAAGGAATGTGCCGACAATCCCATGCCAGCATCACGGGCTCTCCAAAAGGGAGAGCATCCCAACCCCAGACGCGGTGGACTTGGCCACTCTCCGGCTGTCCAGCCGGGGTCTCCAGGCCCTCCCGGACGAGGAGGGCTGTGGGCAGGCGGCAAGGGAGAGGAAGGCTGGGACCTGTGAGAGGGGCGCCCGCCTCGCCCACCCCAGCACCCCGGGCAACGCCCTGCCGCCGGTGCTCACCAAAGACCAGGATGTTCTTGCCGGAAGGCAGTTTAGACCTGGCGCGAGTGGACACCTCGCTCAGGATCGAGGACCTGTAGGGACAACGGCAGAACGGTCAGCGCCGGGGCCAGCACGGACCTCAACCGCCCGCGACCGGCTGTCAGTCTGTCCGACGGCCCGGCGCCCCGCCCGGCTCCCCGCCCGGCCCCTCGCGATCTCACCATAGGCTCTGGCCCTCCTCCTCCTCGCTAGTCAGGTCGCCGGCGGCCGCCACCGCGGGCCCGTTGGGGCCCAGCAGCAGCTTCTTCTCCACCCCCACCGGCGCCATCTTGCCAACTGCAGCCACAAAGAGGGCCCTCCCCCGGGCCCGCCGAGGACCCGCGAGGACCCCAGCTGGGGCGCCCGCCGCCCGCCACCCCCGCGCCGCCCGCCCCGCAGGGCCAGCGCCGCCCACCGCGCTCTGCCGGGCCCGTGATGTCCTCCGGCTCCCGCAAGTCCGTGAGGCCGCCGAGGTGGCGGGAGGTGGGTGGCGGTCAGGCGGCCGCCGGGGCAGCTATGCGCAGGGAGGCGGTGGCGGGAGCGGGAGCCGCCCGGACGGAGGGCACGCTGGCGGCCTCTGCCGGCCGAGGGGCGCTGCGGCACTCCGCCCCGGGTCCTCGCCCGCTCGCCGGTCCCGCGGCGCCGTCGGGGCCGAGGCAACCAGGTTGCCTGACGGCAAAAGCTCAGGCTTTGGAATGAGAATAATAGACGATAGCGCCGTTGGCCTAGCGCTGACCGTGTGCCGGAGTCACACATTATCTCACTGAATTCTGTCTAACCCTTTTACAGATGAGAAACCTGAAGCTCAGACAGCCTAAGAAACCTGTCCAAGGACCCAATGCTAGAAGAGAGCACCCCAGTACTTCCAATCTCATTCACCGATCTTAACCTATTATATCATGAATTTTGCCTAATCCTAATGATGCCCCGCATTGAAACACTGGCCTTATGCCAGTCCCCCAGATCCTCATCAAGATCTTGCTTTTCACCTCCTCCTTCCTTGACTCTATTTAAGATGGTGAGGTAGTGATCTTTACCGCAGTGAACAAATACGCTTGAGTTTAATAAGTTTTTTTAATGATATTTTCAGGGAACCACTATTTGACACCAGAAATAGGAGGCTTTAATTTCCTTTCCTCAGGGGAAAAAAAAAGGAAAGGAAAAGGAAGAGATGTGAAAAGGGAAGGGACAGGGAAAAGAAAAGGGAAGGAAGAGGGTAATGGCAGAAAAGGAAAGAAAAAACTCATTTCACCTATCAAGCTTAACTTCAGGTGTGGCCTCTACCTGACGGCTCTTGCTATCCTCTGTGGAAACAGGCTCACCTTACAAGGCATTTCTAAATAACACAAGAAAGTGGGATATGGCAGAAAATCAATCACCTCTGTGGGTTTCAGATTAGGATTCTCATCCTGGCTCTGCCAAAATGTTCACAGCATGAATTACAGGCTCCAATGAATGGGCATATCACCTGCCAACCTGAATGTAAGATTCAAACAAGACAATGGGAGTGAAAACCCATTAAGAGTTACACTCCTGGAAGTCTGGGAAGAGCAGGCAAAGTGTTGTAAATCATAAAAGGGCAAGCAGTGTCTGAATTTTCATAAGACAGAAGATGAAGTTAAAAAATACAGGTCAGTGAACTTCATCACCTAGGTGAAATTCTCTAATGTAACCAGTTAAAAAAGGAAAAGATAGCACCAGATTTATAGTTTCTTTCTTTTTTGCAGGAATACCAGGTAGGAGGATGCCGCAAGACAGAGCAAATGCAGATTTCAACAGGGCATTTGACAATTCACATCATAGACAAGCAAGTGAAATGTAGGCTGGACGATAGCATTGAGGCTTGTTAAAGACCAGGCCCAGAGGGGGCTGACGAGCAGGGACCACAAGAGGAGGCTGCGAGGGGCCTGCTCTAATCTCCCACCCTGGCCCAGCCAATTCAGGGTGCCAGTAGGGACTTGGTGAGAATGCAACAGCACACTCATAGAAGTGTGGATGACCTGAAGCAGAAAGAGATGCCCAGTATTCTGGATGACAAACTGAGTACAGACTAAATCTAACAAGATGAAATTTAACAGGGACTACTAAAGTCCTGTATAGTGGGGTTTAAAATAAATGCACAAGAACAAGATAGGAATGAATAAAAATTATAATCTGTAAGTCTTAACTATATTAACTATAATCAGTTGGTCATGTAGAATGCCAAGAAGCATCTTAGGCAAGGTCCATAAAACCTTACTGGACCTAGCAAAGAAGCTGATCCCCTACTCTGCCAGTCAGGCTACATTTCCTTCTGGGCAGTTTATAAACAAAGAGTTGTCCAGTGGTCAGGGACTAAGCTCATAGGGGACATGACACTATCTGCTGAAGTGTGAAGTAGCTGGCGCTCATCAGCATGAAGGATAAAGGATATAGAGGGAAAAGACAGGGAAGTGATAGACACCTATCTTTAACTCTCTCAAGGGCTGGCATGTGGAAAAGGGATTCAACTTTTGTGGTCCTGCAAAAGGTGCTACAGGAAGCTGCATTTCATTTTAGCATAAGGAAGACCTGACCACCAGTTATCACCCTGTGAAGTAGTAAATTTCATGTTTCTGCAGATTTTTGCAAAATTAAAGACAGCCAGTAATGTCCAGATTGTTGTACAGTAGTTCATGCCTCTGTCAGGGAACTATAACTGAAGCCAGTTCCAACTCCAAGGGTCTGTCATTAAAATCATTTTTTATTCCCTGTTGATTTGGTGAGGTCTGAATTCCTAAAGCCATATAGTCCTCTAATATGTCATCATTCTTTGGCTTTCTTTTTGATATGTCTTCATTTACTTTATTACCAAATATCTCCATTTGAGGGGAGAAAAGGAGCTCATGTTAACCAAAAGTTAGCCAAGGGTTAGGATAAAAGTTCAAGGTTTCAGAAGGCAGTATAGGTTATTTTAAATATAGTGACTGACACAAAACAGTGTCTAAGCTACAGTATGTCATACTCTTGCGGATGCTTCTGTAAGCAGTGTTTGATTTTTCTATTACATAACATAACTTCCAATCAATAAAAGAACTGTTACCTAAGACCCACTTAAAGTGGAAAAATGTGTTTAATTCATATCAGAACAATGATAAAGGGCCAGCCCCATGGCCAAATGTTTAAGTTTGTGTGCTCCACGTCAGCAGCCCAGGGTTTTGCCAGTTCGGATCCTGGGTGCGGATCTCGCACCACTCATCAAGCCATGCTAAGGCGGCGTCCCACATAGCAGAGCCAGAAGGACCTACAGCTAGAATATACAACTCTGTACTGGGGGACTTTGGGGAGAAGAAAAAAAGAAGATTGGCAACAGATTTTAGCCTTGGTGCCACTCTTTTAAAAAAAAAAGTGATGAGACAACTTCTGATTAACAAGCTAATAAGGCTGAGGATTATCTAACTTATAAGACAAAATGTTTTCCCCTTTGACCTAAAATAACTTTCATAAATTCTGAGAAATAAAAATCAACATAACCCAGCAGACTATTTAAATCATCCCCACAGTGCTTAGGAAATACTGACAGATAATGAACTAGATTCATTCACACTTTAAATGCTTCAAGGAATTTTCCAAATTGTAAATCATTCTTTTGCCTAAAGGAAACCTTGGATTTAAACAGAAAATTTTCTGCTTATTGACCCTCTGGAATTTCATTGTGGATCAGAAAATAAGAAATTTAATAAAAATTCTGCTTTATCTAAGAAATAGTCATGATCTGAAAAGGTCAAAAAATACATGCTTATAGGGAAATATCCTTTGGGACTGAAGAATCTACTAGAATGACATGAAGCAGTGAGCCAATGGGTACAGAAGCACAGCCGAGCTTTCAGACCCTGATACTTGATCATTTTGCCACAGCAACAGCATTTTAAGTACAATGGAGGCTGCAACAGCATCTTTTGGGGATGGTGATGGAATATAAAAAGAGTAAGAAAAATAGAAAACTGGGACCTAATGGTTTTCCACCAGAATAAAACTAACTTGAAAACAAACAATAAAAAAATTGTTTTAAACTTTTAAAAAGCAAACACAAATAAACATACACCAAAAAGAAGTGAACCTGACCATAGTACTTGGGAATATTCAAAGCAACTGCACAATTAGCCTTTATAAGAGGAAACATTTTAATTAACAAAATTTCAAACATTGATTTAGTATGTGCAAACCTCCCTTGAACAGCTTGGGAAACTATTCTGTCTTTCCAGTGAAGGACTTTCACTGGGTAAGATACTAAAATCCAAATGTCTCACATAGTATTCATTGCAATATAATGTCAAATAATGTTTAAAGGCTGATAATTTTTTTTCTCTTACCTATATTCTTTGAGCTTAAAGAAAAGTATGTTCCTAAACAAATGTTTTACTTTATAAAGGAATTTTGTCTTACTAATCTACACATTGAAAATTTGTCTTATAAATTATTTTAATAATTTGATGAGCTACAGCATCACAAAAGTAGTTAATTAAAACAGTATCTCTGCTTCCACATTCTCTATCTCATGAGAGTTTAGAAGAATATTTTAAATTTTGTATATTCAAGGCATTGTATCTTAAGAGTTCAAACTAAAAACCAACAAGTCTTCCAATCAAGAAGCTGCACACTTGGGGCCTTTGGTCAGTTTATGGTACTTGTGAGCAAGGTCCACAGCCTTCCGTCCTTGCTGAAAGGGGAAAGACCACAAAATTAAATTCCAGTGATTTCCCATTTTCTTAACTCCACTGAAAAGGTAATTTACTTCTTCTTTGGTAAAGTTTTTACGAATTCTTCTTTTTTCTGTAATTAAGGAGAATTGTAGAATATATTAGTACTTACTGAAAAAATGGATCTTCTTGAGACCCAAATAAGTGCTTAACTTATTCTAAGGATATGAACTATACAGTGAGAAAATGTCATTCCTGGGTTACTCATCATATAGAAATCCACTTCAATTTTTAAAAGTTGAGGGCCTACTATTAAGCTAGATGCTATCACCGTGACTTCTTCAATAATTGTAATTTAATCCTATTGCAATAATATTTGTAACACTTTCCAATCAAGAAACACAAGTTTATAAACATGTTATTTTTAATTCTCTCAACATTCCTGTGAGGACAGTTAACAAACAGCTTACCTATCTTATAGATACAGTCTTCCCAAAGGGCTCCATAACTTCATAGAATAGAAAAGAATATCAATACTTGTTACTTTAATTATCAGGCTTGATTAATAATTTTAAAGAATAAGGGTCTTTTGAAATTCATTTTAAAAAACATGTTCACTACCTATATAGGTGCTCACCTTGATTAAAACAAACAAACAAAAAATAGGCTGCACAAGAAAGAAGGAAGTTTTTAACTATTTGTTTGTTAGGGATACTTTCTACAACAGAAAGAATGCAGTTATTATCTGTAAACATAAATATCTTCTGGTGATGATTACTAGGAAATAGTTTTCTTTTAAGCTTTTTCATTCACTGTTAATTCACCTTATCATTGTAGGTGGATGCTGATGAGGAGGAGTTTTTTTTATTTCCACTTAAGGCTGCTATTTACTTTAGCAGGACCTGGAATAGTTGTGCTGGGACACCCTTAGAAAATCTTGCCCTTGCAGGTCAAGACTGTTAGCCATTTTTCCACCTCTCCTAGGACAACAGCCACAGTTCAGATCTTTTAAAACAGAAGATAAAATCTTGCCAGCAGAAGGCTGAGAAATCAATGAAAATAATGTCTGATTATTACTTAATGGTATTACTTAAAATGCAAGCTCCAGGAAGACAGGAATTTTTATCTGTTTTGCCTACCACTGTATCCCCAATTGCCTAAGACAGTATCTGACACCTAGTAGGTGATCAACAAATATTTGTTGGAAAAGGAAAGTTAGTATTGGTAAAAAACTGTTTCAAAACTTATCAGTGAAGTTACTCCTTACTTTTGGGTCTACTGGAAAACTGTAGTTATCCAAGAAATAGACTATTTCAATTTCACTTGCTAATTGATTTGAACTCATTACAATCAGGATTGGATGCGTTACTATAACATTCAGGATACTGGGGTCCTGGAGGTGTTCGTGTAAAGCCAATCCAAACTTTTCCGTTGCAGCTGCCATCTCATTAACATCTGTGCCCAGTTCCTCAAAGGTTACTGCAGCAGAGTAGTGGGCAGCCTAGGAGGAGGAGGCAACTCTCTACACCCAAAACTCCCTATGGCTTCTTTAGTGCCCCTCTTAACATTGATTGGGCATTAGGAAAGAGGAGGGAAAAATAGGCAAGAAGGCTCAGTTCTAGAGACTCTTATTTTTCAAACCCTCTCAAGATACCAATCCATCTTAAAAGAGACCCTTGTCCCCAAGGCTCTTTAAATGCTTAGATGCTGCAACGGTCGCTTCTCAAAAGAATAGTCTCAAATTTGAATGTAACCTATAAATGAATGGTGATGAATGTCTCTAATACAAAAGGGAAATTTATCAAGAAGGGGAAAAATGGCAATATATCAAATATTCCTGGCCTGCTTGTGAAAGAGATATAAGACCAACCTAATCACTACCTCCTCAAGACGCCTTTCTAAAGTCTAAAAAAGCAAGCCAAATTATTAACTATTTGGTTTTAGCTAAAGCAATTCTAACCTACAAAAAACAATGTATTTATAAGCTTCATGTCACTTAACAGTATTTAGGATCCCTCTGTATAATCAATAGATAACCATAATTATGTACATTTCATAAGGCTCTGCAAGTGATTTTACCATGTAAAATGATTATAAAATATTTTTAGTTGTTACAAATTTTCCTTTAAGACATGTTACTGAAAAAAAATCTTCTATTAATTTGATGCCAACTCCTTGCCAAAAACAAGATTTCCAAATGCAACATGTTTCTATGGAAAAACATCCATTTTCTAACAGTTTCTACAAAAAATATTATTTTAAAAGTGGGCTACCCTATAGTGGTACTGAATTTAATTTGCATGCAGAACTTTTAACCTAGAAAAAGATCCAGATATAAAAAGTAAATTTGAAGTTTCTTTAAAGGTTTAAGAAGCGAACATGGCCAAATAAAACTATGTGGCAAAATGTTTCCTGGATGTACCAAGTCCACAGGTCTTTGCAATAAATAACAGAATGGCTCTACAGATGACACTAATTTCCAGGTTATTTTGACAAGTAATGTACTCAACTGCTTATTCTTACTCGCAGGTACTAATTCCATATGAATAGAAGAAAACGGTAATGTTCTTTAAGTCTCTGTGATAAATTTGGAATGGTGATAAACCTGAAATGTTAACCCCGTAGTTAAATAAAAATTCCCATAAATTAACTCATCATTTAAGAAGTATTTTGATTTTCAAGCATGGCTTTAAGGTTTATACTGTTTGTCTCTTCAATTTTGATTGTTTGAAGTGCTATAGTTACAAACCAAAACCTTCTGCAAAATCTCTCAGAAGCACTTATGCAAAGGAGAATAATTTTGTTCTTAAAATAGAAAAGTGATCCAGAGGATAGAACAGGAGCTTCTGGTGAAAGACAGGTTTGCATATGAATTTAAGTTCCGCCATTTGCCTGAAACTGGGAATAAAATAATACTTACTTTACAATGTCATTATGAGAACTAGAGGATATAATATCTGTAAAACATCTAACACATAGTAGGTGTTTAATAAATATTAGTTTCCTCCTGTTCCTTCCCCAGCTGGCAAGTAATGGATGGGGAAGCCACATGAGGAAGGGAAGAAGGAAGCCTCTTTACTTAGGAAGTATGACCCTCATCAGAGCCAAGGGTTATTTAAGAGCCATTAATGATGACATTGAGAACAATCATTCAGCTGTTCTTTCTCAGGAATATATGAAATTTAGGTTTATTTAAAAATTAAATATATTCACTTATTCCTCCAAGGGTAGTAGATTCGTTACTGAGTTGTCGTCTTCTACGTGGGGTCAGCAGAATTTCTGAAAAACATGGAAAACATTTAGCATGCTTAGAATATCAATCTGAGTAATAGCACATCAATTCCATTGGCATGCTATTTCCTTTTTCCCCCCTTCTAACAGGAATCCTTAGGTGGATTAGGAAGAATTTTTTAACCACCAGAAACTAAATCTACTCCCTGGGTACATCTTAAATCACTGGTTGCTCAGAGACAGATTTTCTTTTCAACATTATTTTACCCTCTAGTTTTTAAGATACTTCATGTTCTAGATTATAGTTCAGAAGGTATAGTCATAATTACAGTTTTAAAGCTGCTGAATTAATTACTTTTGTTACAGATAAGTGATTTCCTTAGTTCACTTTTATATCTGTCTTCAGCTTCCACAATGACTTTGTGACGATCACATTGGTATGGGCAAGAGTGCAAGAGCTTGCTAAAATTTCGGCTATTCAGAGATTTTCCTACTGCTATGCAACCTAAAAGAAAACAAATCAAAGTGATGTATAGATGTTACAAAATATCTAGTAACAAATCTATGAAAGCAAATATCTTTATGATGGCAACTGAAGTGAAATCAAGAACTTAATTACAAATACATCAAGAAGCTCAAAGTCATGTGAGAGAGTAAAGACAACAAATACAATACAGTGAAATAAATGTTGCAATAAAGGCATGAACAGAGTTATGCTGATATAGAAAAGGAGCATCTACTCTGGTCTGGTCCTGAGCAGAAGCCACTGTTAGGAAAGATATACAAAAGAAGTGACCCTTATGCCCAGTCACCTTCCCCGCCCCTGCCCCCTGCAATGTTTTATTATAGAAAACTTATGAAACACAAGAGTAAAGGGAAAAGTATGATGAGCCTCCATGTATCCATTATCCAAATTCAATAATTATTAACTCATGGCCAGTCATATTTTATCTACACCTCACATACTCTGCTTTGCCCTCCATCTATGCACTGGATTATGAAGCCTAGAATTTGCATTAAAGTATCATTTCATCTGTAAATACTTTGTATGTATCCCTAAGAGATAAGGACTTTAAAAAAAAAAAACACAAAACCATTATCACACCTAAGAAAATTATGCTTAATATAATCTAATATCCATTCAGTGTTCAAATTTCCCCATAATGGGAGCCGGCCTGGTGGTGTAGTGGTTAAGTTCACACGCTCTGCTTCAGAAGCCTGGGGTTTGCCAGTTCAGGTTCTGGGCGCAGACCTACACACAGCTTACCAAGCCATGCTGTGGTGGCATTCCACATAGAAAAGCTAGAAGGACTTACAACTAGGATAGACAACTATGTACTGGGGCTTTGAGGTGGGGGCGGGGGGAAGAGGAAGATTGGCAACAGACGTTAGCTCAGGGCCAATCTTCCTCACCAAAGAGCAAAGCTTAAAAAACAAAAAAATTCCCCATCATTTCAAAGATTTCTTTTTTTTTTTTTTTTTTAAAGATTTTATTTTTTCCTTTTTCTCCCCAAAGCCCCCCGGTACATAGTTGTGTATTCTTCGTTGTGGGTTCTTCTAGTTGTGGCATGTGGGACGCTGCCTCAGCATGGTCTGATGAGCAGTGCCATGTCCGCGCCCAGGATTCGAACTAACGAAACACTGGGCCGCCTGCAGTGGAGTGCGCGAACTTAACCACTCGGCCACGGGGCCAGCCCCTCAAAGCTTTATTTTTATAGTTGGCTTTGTTTGAATCATGATCCAAACAAGGTCTACCCTTACATTCAGTTGATATGTCCCTTGAATTTCTTTGAATCTCTAAATTCCTCTCTCTTCCCCCTTATCATTTACTTGTTGTAGACAGTGGGTCATTTGTACTACAGAGTTTCCCAAAGGCTAGATTTTGCTGATTACATCCTAGGTGCACTCTTTAAAATATTCCTGTGTGCCCAATAAACTAGTAATTAGATGTAGATGATTGATCAGATTCAGATTCAATTGTTTTTAGTAGAATTCTTCACAGGGAGTATTGTATACTTCTTACTGCATCATATTAAAAGGCACATCAAGTCTGACTATCTCTTTTTTTAATGTGAAGATGGATCAGGAGGTTCAGGTAATGTTACCCACATGCATCTGTAAAAAAGTTCTCCATGTGCCTGTCACCTAATGGTATTAGGGGCCTATGCCTAAAGGATTAGGAGAAGTTAGCCAGGCAGAATGTTGGCTGGGATGAGGACATTTTGAGTACAATGAACATGTGCAAAAGCAGAGAAGAGTGAAAAAGCAAAGTGTATTCAAAGAATCATAGATACTTTGGTGTGGCTGCAGTATAAGGTATGAGAGAAGTGTGGGAGAAAAGTTGAGGCTGGTGAGGGTTTCAAGGCGCCAGATCAAGAAGGGTCTTAAAAGCTATGCTAAGGATTTTTAACTATCTTCAAGTCAATGGGGAGGAACTGAAGGATATTTATGAAGCAGGGAAATGACATAATTTCATTTGGTTTACAGAAAGTTCAGCTGAAGGTAAGAGGTTCAGTTAAGGGGTTACTTCAACAGTCTGGAAAATAAAGGAAGGGATTCTAAAACACAGCATTTATAGGGAGAATGCAAAGATTTCTGAGGTTAAATTGGTGAATAATGAGCTGTTGGGGTAAGGAGGAAGTTTAGGATAATTCTCAAGTAATTTGGTAGTTGACTGAATGGCAAAGTTTGGAATAAGCATGGAATATTTCTGGCACACTTAAAGAGAACAAATGTGCAGTAAAATTTAACAAGTGGAGGCAGGACAAAATTCCAGAAAATTTTGAAAGCCAGGCAGAGGGTCTGAGTCAGTGAGTTACTGAGGGTTCTTTGGTATGGTGACATGATAAAAAGCATATATTATGAAGAGAAGTTAACAGCAATACATACATTACAGTTGGCGGTTGCTGAGACTTGAGACTGAAAGACTGCTACAAATTTGCTGGAGTAATTTAGACACGAAACAAAAAGGGTCTATGTGGGAAAGAAAAAAAGAACCAACTTTGATAGACTAAAAATACGGGATGTAAAAAGAAAAAATAGTTACAGATGTTTCAAGGTTTGAAACCTGGGAGGCCAGAAGAATAGTGGCAACACTAATAGAAATGGAGTGATTGGAGGGAGGGAAATTTAAGAGGGTAAAGATGCTGTGTTTTGAATATATTAAGTTTGAAATAACAGTAAGATATTGAAGTGAGCATGTTCTGGATACAGTTAGAAATGGAAGAGTCAGGCTATAACCACTTAGAACCAAGTGTAACCACTAAGTAACCACTTAGAAGCCAAGTGTAGAGAGATACAGATTTGAAAATCATCAGTAAACGATAGTTGATGCCACAAAAGTAAACATTGCAAAAGAGTGGAGTAAGTGCTACAGACTGTCTTGGGGGGGAATAACTGTAACAATTTGGCAGGAACAGAAAGATAAAGCAATAAAGATGATAAAATGGAGTGGTTTTTAGAATGTAAATTTTTTTCTTTTTTTTTGAGGAAGATCAGCCCTGAGCTAACATCTGCTGCCAGCCCTCCTCTTTTTGCTGAGGAAGACTGTCCCTGAGCTAACATCCGTGCCCATCCTCCTCCACTTTATACATGGGACGCCTGCCACAGCATGGCTTGGTAAGCGGTGCATAGGTCCACACCCAGGATCCGAACTGGTGAATCCAGGGCTACCCGTGCAGAGCATGCAAACTTAACCACTACACCACCAGACCAGCCCCTAGAATGTAAACTTCTTGAGGTGAGAACTGAGTTCTATGCATCTTTGATCCCAGTGCCTGCCATAAAATAGGCACTCCCTAAGTGTCTATGAAATGAGTGAGTCGTCACGGAGGGAAGAAAGGAATTAGGAAAGAACCGTCTCAAACTAAGGGATGAAAAGGAGTTAATAGTTACAGAGTGTCCACTCTGCCAACTGGAATACCTTTTGACCAGAGGTCCCCAAACTTTCTCGCTTCACGGCACCCTTAAGATCTTGGTGATTTTTTACCCAACCTCCACGTCAAAAGAAATACCAACCATTGTGTTAGCACACAAATACTTAAATTGTTTGGACCTAACAACTTCATAGCCATTTGAAAAAGTAACACACCTAAATTAAAAGAAAACATTTGCATTTCATTCTTATTAATTACATTTACTTCCTACTGGGATACATGTACCTAGAGCACAACTTCTCAAATCTTGGAATCAGACTGAACACTGCCACCCTCATTCCCTCCACGTTGATTTTCATGTGATGCATGCTTTCTATCACAACTACTGAAAACCCATCTCCACAAAGACGTGACATTATCAAAAGGAATACAATGCAATTTAATGTTGAAACTGAACAAAATATGTTGACTATTTTGTGTTTCACTTATAAAACTGAAAATATTATGTAGTGCCTTTGTGAGTGCACTGCAGAGCCCCAGGGAGCCTGAATGGACAGTTTGGGGACTGTGGCTTTAAACTACTGAAAAGAAAGGATTTCAAGGCATGGTAGTCAATAGCGCAGAGATACTAAAGAGGATAAGAATTTTTTAGAAAGTCATTGGATTTTGGGGGAGGAAAAAAAAGAGGCTTCAGGTAACCTTTAACATTAAAGTTTAACAAATGGCAATAAAAGAAGCCAGATTGCAGGGAGTTAAGAAGGGAAGGAATACACTGAAAGAGACAGGAGTAAGAGGGGGAATCTGGTAATAAACGGTGGAAGAAAGAGTAGATGAGTACTTGAATGGATAGCAGATCACACAAAGTGTTTGGATTTTTTTAAGACAAGGAGAAATGAACATAGTTTACAATGGGACAAAAGGAGTTAATGGCTAGAAAGATTGAAAAGGGGAGGAAAAAAGACATGAGATTCAGATTATAGCTAGATATCAATTTTAGAGTAATAGAGATAAACTCTTCATCCAAGACAGACAAATAGTGATATTCTGAGCCTACTGTGGAATAGCCTCAATTTTCTCTATAGAGCAGAGTGTGACAGTAAGTGTAAACAAAGAGGAAATACCAGGGTATGAAGGAGAAGAAGAGGTGGAACAGGCACTGTAGAACATTTACAAGGGCCCGACAGAAAAAATAAATAATAGGGCATGGAACATTAGAAACATTTATATATTAACTATAAACATAAAAATAGATATTGTTTAATACTTAATGCCCATATTTAGAGCATAATCCAGAATACATATTTATTTATTGACCCTTTGAAAATATAAAAAATGTTTACCTTACTCAGTAAAGTTAAACTTATAGCTGGTATTGTGACAAAAAGAGAAGAATAAAGTAATAGAAAAAAGTATAAGCTATGTTGATTCATATAAATAAATACTGGGAACATAGGCTAATGAAGATAGATGGTATTAATTTGAATGTTTTATGATACTCCAGCTGGTTCTCTCTCCAAAGGAAATGAAGTTTAAATCACATAGGTAGAACTATTACAAATTCTAGTTAACTAACATCATATAAAACTTTAATTATGAAACAACTGAAATTAAAAAAATATTTACCTGAGCATCTATACTTTAACATTTTGGAACAACTGTTGGTTGCTAGAAAACTGATAACTTCTTTATTTATTATATCGGAACATAATGTAAATGGATCTAGAAAAAAACAGCAAAATGGAGGAATTTTTTGATTAATGGAAAGGACGTGACATTTACAAGATTTATTAATTCTCAAGATTTTCATAAACTTAGCCCAGTCCTACACATCCAATCATCCTGGTGGATAAACAGAAAGGTTCTGGGTTTCAATAAAAGGTGACTGAAACACTTAGACCAGAAAGAGAGTCAAAGGCATGGCTTATATGTTAGAGGGCAGATATACCAATGTACATTTTTAGCTATATTAGTCACCTAAATATTTGTTTTCTTGAAAAATCAAAGAAGAAACATTTTTAATCATACCTGTTACTGGTAACTGCTGCTTTCTATTTTTGACAATGGGAGTTGGATGTTTAAAAACATGGTCGCTAAAAGAAAATAGACACCAGATTACTAAAAGTAAATATTCTGTTCAGTTTGTGGACACATGTTTCTGTAAGCAGAGGTGTGATTTTGGGAGTTTGGCAGGCAGAAGGAAATGGAGTCAGGATCTAGCAAAATCTACCAAATTCTGCCAAAGTAGGGTCTGCACCGGTTATAGCCTTGTTTCTAATAAGGGTAATAATATTGATGCTCGCAGAAACATGGGATAAAAAGCTGTAAAAAAGGAAAACAGAAACGAATGAGGGCAAAAAAAGGAAAGAAGAAAATCAGAGGGCCAGAGGGTAAGAAGGCTGGCCCAAGAACATATCTCACTGCTTCCCAATTCCACATCCTTGAGAAATCAAGCTAAAATTAACATCAAGAATGGTTTTAAAAAGGAAAAATGGGGTGGTGATGATGCAATCCATTTTCCCAATACTTAGTTTACTCTACAACCTTCCCAGAACATAGCAGCATCCTCTTCAGTTTCCCTCCTAGCACAGTAACCATTTAGAAGAGTATAACACAGGAAAGGGTCTAAGAAGAAAAGCTACAACAACAAACACATAGCAACAGAGACTGGATTAGTGGTTACCAGAGGGGAAAGAGGGAGGGAGGGAGGTGAAAGGGGTGATTAAGCACATGTGTGTGGGAATGGATTGTAATTAGTCTTTGGGTGGTAAACATGATGTAATCTACACAGAATTCGAAATATATTACAATATATACCTGAAATTTATATAATTCTATAAACCAATATTACTGCAATAAAATAAATAAATAATAACAACAAATAATAAAGTAAAATAAAAAAAGAAGAAGAAAAGCTGCAATCCCAGGTCCAGCCCCACAGGCTACCTGGCGGGGAGAAAGGACACGTGCTGGAGGGGAGGTGTAGGGAACAGCTGAAAAGGCAAGCCTAAACCAGATTTTCATCACACCCTACTCTCTTTTATCATGTTAAATTTACAGATTGGTTTTTGCTACATTGCTGATGGATTATCAATGCATGCATTGTTTCTTCAGGTATAGGATTTCAGTTTAAGTTTTCTAAGTATCCTTTCTAAAATTCAAATCTGATCATTTCACTCAATTTAAAATTGTCATTGGCTCCCTATACCCTCTAAGTTAAAACAGAAAATCCTGAGTGTGAAATGCAAGGTCCTAGACGAACTGGCCCATACCTCCCCATCCAAACTCCTTTCCCAACATTTGCTACTTTAGGCTCCTCTCAAGACCATGTTTTATCATTTCTATATCCAAGTGCTTAACAGTGTGGCACACAGTTAGTAAACCGTACCTTGATTGAGAAACAAAATTCTTTTTTTCAAAAGTTGTTTCTTCATGTAAGTTTTGACTGCAGCTTGAATTGGCTTTACATAAAGTCTTATTTTTCCCACTCTCCCTATAACAAGCATTAACTGGATTTGTACTCTTTAACAAGGTCTTCATTTGGTCATCATTTGTACACGCTTGAGACATGACTCCATGGGATTTATAACTCTTAAGCTTTCTAGACTGGCTCTTATCCTTATCTGCTTTGGGACCTCCACCAATACTCTCAGCATGGAGGTATTTCAATGTATTTTGAATATTTATGTTCATAGATGAAACATGATCCTTATATTTTTCTCTTCGTATTTCTTCCTAGAATGTAAAAATGACAAGTAAATAATTTCAAGATAATCTATTTGCTTCATGATCCAATTTACACTCCCTTTAAGTAATGCAGAAAAAGTTTATGATTGCCAGTAGAATATACATGATAAAAGGGCAATTTACATTAGGAAGAAAAGGGAGTTTATTCAATAAATGATTTTGGGACAATTGGGTAGCCATCTGGGGAAAAAAATAAATTGCATCTGTATCTCACAATTTACAGAAAAAAACTCAAAATGAATGAAATATTAGAAGTTGAAATTATATATGTTCTAAAATAAACCATGATATTTTAATATTCTCAAGGAAGGAAGGCCTTTCCAAGTATTACATAAAGATCAATAAATCATAAAAGAAAAAAGCTAATATACTTTACCAGATAAAATTCTGCTAGAGACCAAGAACAATATGGGGGGGAAGGACTAAGAGGCAGAAAGGGACAGAAGCAAAACCAAATGATAAAACACCTAGAAAAAATATGTATAAGTGATATCTTGGGCCACCGTACAATTTTTCTAATAATGTTTATAAAAAGCAACAACAAAGAAATATGAGAAAGATCAACAATAGTACAGAAAGACAGACAAAGGAGATGAACAGTCCATAGGAAAGGAAATACAAATAGCTCTTAAACATAGTAAAAATGCTCCATGCCACTTGTAATAAGAGAAATCAGTAAGATAATCTTTCCTCATCTATGACACTGGCAAAGATCAAAAGGGTAGAAGGGAAACACTCTCATATACTATGAGTGGGAGTGTAAACTGATACAACCTCTATGGAGAAAAAATTTGACACTATCTTTCATAATAAAAATTGTGCATATCTTTTTTAAAAATCCTACAGATATACTTTCACAAGTGCAAAATGCTACTAACTGCAGCATTGTTTCTAATCTCTAAAGGTTAGAAATAACCTGAACGCTCATCAGAAAAGGAGCTAGCACATCCACATAATGGAATACTCTGCAATTGAGGAAAAAAAAAAAAAAGAATAAAGAGGACTTCCAGATAAAGATGATGAATTTAACATCCATATTTATTCTTGGTTATTTTTTTTTTTGAGGGAGATTAGCCCTGAGCTAACATCTGCTGCCAATCCTCCTCTTTTTGCTGACGAAGACTGGCCCTGAGCTAACATCCATGCCCATCTTCCTCCACTTTATATGTGAGACGCCTGCCACAGGATGGCTTGCCAGATGCACCAGGGATCCGAACTGGCAAACCCCGGGCTGCCAAAGTGGAACGTGCACACTTAACTGCTGCGCCATCAGGTGGAGTCCTATTTTTGGTTCTTTAACAAAAAACAACTAGAACAGTTTTTAAAAAGGCATAAACCCATAACTACAAGGAGAAATGGAAGAAGAAATAAAAGCAACAAAATTTTGGAAACTGGAAAGCAGATAGGTGAATGATAATCTACTTAGCCGACTTGATACAGCTGAATCCAAAGCTGACAATGGGAAAAGTCAAGAAACTACCTAAGATACGCTACCAAATTCTCAAAAGCCTTAGAAATTGGCTAGGAACCGCTAGACGGTGAGGTGAAGGTGGGATTAAAAATAGGAAGAATGAGGGGCCGGCCCCATGGCCAAGTGGTTAAGTTCACACACTTGGCTTTGTTGGCCCAGGGTTTCACGGGTCCAGATCCAACATGGCACTGCTCATCAGGCCATGCTGAGGCGGCATCCCACATAGCACAACCAGAAGGACCCACAACTAGAATATACAACTTTGTACTGGGGGGCTTTGGGGAGAAGAAGAAGAAGAAAAAAAAAGACTGGCAACAGATGTTAGCTCAGGTGCCAATCTTTAAAAAAAAAAAAAGAAATGTTGCCCCATTACTCAGCTCATTCTGATCTTTCCCTTCACACAGTTTCTTTGGTAGTTATAATCAACCTTAATTTAAAAAACAATAGGAAGAATGGATGAAAGTCTGTTTAAGAAGTAGTTGGATTACTGAATCCCAACTCCCACATCACACACTTATCAGGCAGTTGAATGACACCAGAAGGGTTTCTCCTTCCCCAAGGCTAGAAGTTCAATCTCTGAAGGGGATAAAATAGTCTGCCCTGAAGGACGCCAAGCAAAGGTGAACGGAGAATACTATCAAGAAACAAAGACTAAGCACGTATTTATATACCAAATACTAAGACCTCCAACTCTCTTCCCCTCTGTTTGATTCCAGAACACTGGTTGACAATCTCTAGGCAGATCAGACATTGGAGGTTCTCAAAAAAGTGACCCACCCAATTCATCCTATGAGAATCCACAGTCAACAAATTTCCAAGGAGATTTTCAGTGTCTGACTCTTAAATATGAGCAGCAACCAATGACCACCAGAAATCTGAAGAAAGCTAGAGGTCAAGAAAGAAAGAAAGAAAGAAAAACAAAACTCAGAGGAGAAGGACAGGGTAAAAAGAAAAAAACTTTTTTTTTCTTTTTTTAAAGATTGGCACCTGAGCTAACAACTGTTGCCAATCTTTTTTCTTTTTCCTGCTTTTTTTCCCCCTCAATGCCCCTGAGACCGTTGTATATCTCCAGTTGTGGGTCCTTCTAGTTGTGGCATGTGGGATGCTGCCTCAACATGGCCTAAAGAACGGTGCCATGTCCACGCCCAGGATCTGAACCCTGGGCCGCCAAACCAGAGCGCACGAACCCAACCACTCAGCCACGGGGCCGGCCCCGAAAAGAACTTTAAAAATGAAAACTATCATCTTATATTTAAGAGAAGAATGCCAATGAAGTCTTAAGTCCATGAAATAAGAGTAAGATAATTTAAAGGGAGTGAAAAAGAGGCCTTGGTAACTAAAAACAACAGAAGTGAAAAACGCAATAGATTTGTTTTAAAAGTACCTATGAGCACATTTCCCAGAATGTAGAACAAAAAAGACAGAGGAAGATAAGAGAGAAATGATAAAGAGGAGGACCAGCTCCAAGAAGTCAACAAAAAAATAATAAGAGTTTCAGAAAAGGAATAAAGAGAAAACAGAGAAGCAATCAGCACAGCACAATGCAAGAAACATTCCTGGCACTGAAGGATACGAAGTTACCAGCGTGAAAGGACCCACTAAGCTTATGTACAACATAATGGATAAAAAGAGACTGACACCAAAATACCTCACTGTGAAATTTCAAAACATTGGGAATAGGGGGTCACCCTGATAGCATAGTTGGTTAAGTTTGTGCCCTCCAATTTTGGCAGCCCATGGTTCGTGGGCTCGGCCCTGGCGTGGACCTACATACTGCTCATCAAGCCATGCTGAGGTGGTGTCCCACATACAAAACAGAGGAAGATTGGCACAGATGTTAGCTTGGGACCAGTCTTCCTCACCAAAAACAAAACAAAATGAAAACATTGGGAATAAAGATTACTCAAGCTTCCAAAGAGAGAAAACAGGGCACACCAAAGGATCAGAATGACTTTGGACCTCAAGAGTAACACTGGAAGCTATAAGACTGTGAAGCAACACATCCAATATACTGAGGGAAGGTGATTTCCAATCTAGAATACTTTGTCTAATCAAACTATCAGCTAATTCTGAAGGTAAAATAAAAATATTTTCATATTTTTAACGTCTCAAAAAAATTTATATCCTATGTATCCTTTCTCAGAAAGCTACAGAAGAATGTACTCTACCAAAATGAGGGACTAAAGCAAAAAACAGAGGATGACATGGGATCCAGGAAACAAGGAATCAAACAAGGAAGGATACCAAGAGAATCTATAAGATGACAGTAAAGGAGTAGCCCAGGGTAACAGTTAAGTACCTGCCATAAAGGGTGTACTAGTTATTAATTTATTGCCCCTCAACTCCAAACCCATCCTTTTTTGCCCTGCATTGTAAAACTGAAACTATACTCTATGGACTACTATTCTATAGCTGGCTTGATGTTAGCCTCTGCCATTAGAAAGTGCTAGAGGATGAGGCCGGCCCCGTGGCCAAGTGGTTGGGTTCACATGCTCTGCTTTGGTGGTCAGGGGTTTCACAGGTTCGCATCCTGGGTGAGGACCTGGCACTGCTCGTCAGACCATGCTGAGGTGGCATCCCACATTGTGGAGCCAGAAGGACCTACAACTAGAATCACAACTATGTACTGCTGGGTTTTGGGGAAAAGAAGGAAAAGAAAAGAAGGTTGGCAACAGATGTTAGCTCAGGTGCCAATCTTTAAAGTGCTACAAGGATAATACAAGGCTGGAAGAGAAAGAAGGAATTTTATCTTCTTTTGGTGTTCTGCTGTTTTGAGTGGTGGCAAATGAATAGGCAGACCTGCACTATAACACATGTTAAAAGAGGCTCATAATTTCTCTAAAGCATAACTTCCCAGTGATACCACTCCTAGGTATTCACCCAAGAGAAATGAAAATGTACACTTCACACAAAGAAGTGTACACCAATGTTCATAGCAACACTATTCACAGTAGTCAAGATCTGGAAGCAATCCAAACAACCATCAACTGGCGAATGGATAAACAATTTACAGTATGTCCATACTAGAGTATTAATCAGCAGTAAAAAGGAACAAAATATTAATAAAACATTGGTGAATTTCAAAAACATTATGTTAAGTGAAATAAGTTAAATACAAAAGATTATGTAATATATGATTCCATTTATGTAAAATTATAGAAAAGGAAAACTAATAACAGAAAGCAGATCAGTGATTTCCTGGCCTTAAGGATGGGGAATGTGACTGTCTGCAAAGGCATACAAGAAAACATTTCAGGGTGAGTAAACTGTTCTATTGCTTGATTGTCTTGTTAGTTACACCACTGTATAAAATTATCATAACTCATCATGCTGTATACTTAAAATGTGTGATTATTAATGGATGTAAATAATAGCTTAATAAAAATTAAAATATTTCAGAAAAAAATAATTTTTTTTAAAAGATTTTTTTATTGTTTTCCTTTTTCTCCCCAAAGCCCCCCAGTACATAGTTGTATATTCTTCGTTGTGGGTCCTTCTAGTTGTGGCATGTGGGACGCTGCCTCAGTGTGGTTTGATGAGCAGTGCCATGTCCGCGCCCAGGATTCGAACCAACAAAACAATGGGCCGCCTGCAGCAGAGCGTGTGAACTTAACCACTCGGCCACGGGGCCAGCCCCAAGATAATTATTTAAAGCAAAAATAATAACATTACTGGGCAGTTTACAACAAATGTAGCCTTAAAATGTATGGCAACAATGGCACAAAATAAAAGGGACATGTAAGCATTTTATTGTAAGGGTCTTACAACATACAAGAAGTGGAATAATATTATTTGAATATAGACCATGATAAGTTAAAGACACATATTATAAACTTTAAAGCAATCACTAAAAAAAACAAGAATGTTTAGCCAATAAACTGAGATATAATATTTTAAAATAATATAAAAGAAGGCAGGAGAGTAGGAAAAAAGGACAAAGAACAAATGTGACAAATAGGAAACAAATAGCAATATGGTAGCCTTAAACCCAAACACACCAATAATTACACTAAATGTAAACGGAGTGATCACATCAATTAAAAGGCAGAAATTGTTGGAGGGGATAAAAAAGACCAAACTAGATGCTGTCTACAAGAAACCAATGCTAACTATAAAGACACAGGTTACAAGTAAAAGAATCAAGTGATGGAGCAATAAAATATCATACATCCATATAACGGAAAATTATTTGGCTATAAAAAGGAATGGAGTACTAATACATGCTAAAACATGGATAAGCCTTGAAAATATTACGCTAAGTGAAAGAAGCCAGTCACAAAAGAACCACATATTACATGATTCCATTCCTATGAAATGTCCAGAATAGGCAAGTCTATAGAGAGCTGATTAGTGGTTACTTATGGTTGGGGGTGAGAGGTACAGGGAAATATCTAAAGGGGATAGGGCTTCTTTTTGAGGCAATGAAAATATTCTAAAATTGACTGTGGTGATGGTTGGACATAGCTGTGAATATACTAAATGCTACTGAAATGTACACTTTAAATGGAGGAACTGTATATATGTGAATTACATCTCAGTAAGGCTATTTTTTAAAAAAGGAACGAAGTGCTGATATATAGTACAACATGAACGAACTCGGAAAACATTATGCTAAATGAAAGAAGCCAATCACAAAAGACATTATATTTCAATTTATATAAAATGTCCAGAATAAGTAAACATACAGACAGAAAATAGATTAGTGGTTGCCTAGGCTGAAGGGAGGCTGGATGAGGGGAATATGGAGGGTGACTGCTAAAGGGTATGAGGTTTCTTTTTGGGGTGATGAAAATCTTCTACAATTGATTGTTACATAATGGTTGCACAATTCTGTGCATATACTAAAAACCAATGAAACATATACTTTAATTGGGTGAATTGAATGGTATGTGAATTATACATCAATAAAGCTGTTATGACAAAAATATACATATACATGTAGCAGGATATTTCCTCTAGAGTTGTTTACACTGGTGAGAAATGGAATATAATGTAAATATCCAACAGTAAAGGACTAGTTAAATCAATTATGGTACATCTATGATATTGAATACTACTTAGTTATCTAAAAGAATGAAATTACTATACTATACTAAGTTGGACACTATGTTTTTATTTTTAAAAATACATGCACATATGAAGACACAAAGCATACATATATAGAAAAAATATGGAAACGTGTGTATGTGTATATACATATTTACATAGGAGGAGAGAGAGAGAAAGAGAGAGATTATTACTTCTCCATCCTTTCCCTTTCTGGTACGCTTATTATACAGATATTAGATCTCCTGGCTCTATCTTCTATATCTCTTATTTTTTTCAGTCATCATTTCCACTTTTTAAAAATCTTTTTTTCTATGTTCAAGGATGATTCCTCAAGTATTACTACTGAATTTTAAAACCATTAAAATAAAAATAAATAACTTGGCAAGAAAACTTTTTACCCTCAAACTTTATTGTTAAAAAATATTTGAAAAAAGTTCTATATTCTTTTGGGGGTTTTTTGGAGGAAGATTAGCCCTGAGCTAACTACTGCCGATACTGCCAACCTTCCTCTTTTTGCTGAGGAAGACTGCCTCTGAGCTAACATCCATTCCCATCTTCCTCTATTTTATACGAGGGCTTTTGCCAAGCAGTGCCATGTCTGCACCTGGGATCCAAACTGGCAAACCCCAGGCTGCCAAGCAGCAGAACGTGCAAACTTAACCACTGCGCCACCGGGCTGACCCCTATATTCTTTGAAACAAAGAAGCCAACCTCATTTCCTTCTCTTTCAAGCTCTTCTATTCTGTGTAGAATTTCCTTTGCTTTCTTCCAACGCTCTTCAAGATTCTTCTCTTTCACATTTATGTCTTCAAATTGTTCTGCTTCATTTTCATCAAAAGAATGTTCTCCTAGACTTAGAGATAATTTCTCAGCTTTACAATAATGGGAAAAAATAGTGAGTTATCCATTACTAGAAATGCTATTTTAACATTTTAAATAAGAACAACCTCATACCTCATACCCCCCTCTCTAAATTTTGCCCAGCTAGACTATCTTAAGTGCCTAAATGGTACGGAAAATAAGTGGAAAGCAAGTGCTTGGCAAAGGCCCAGGACCCAAACAGTCATAGATTTAGACCTTACTCTTCAGAGTTATACGAAAAAGAATAGCATGAAAATATGTTATGCCAGGTACATTAAATACCCTCAGGTGTATGGATACTGGTTTTAAAACAAAAACAGTTTTCATAAAGCAGTTCCTTCCTATAATCTTTCAAATTCTCTTTTCACATATTGTGGCAGCAATTTTTCTTCCACAAAGACCAGAATGCTTTTCATGGCTACTGCTCTCTGTGCTCCAGCCATACTGGCCATCAATTCCTTAAATGCATCAGGCTGCCTCCTATCACAGGGCCTTTGTGCCTCACTGTTGCTTATACCTGAGACACTTGCCCATAACAAATTCCCTTCTTTTCACCTAATTAACTCTAAACAATCAGATCTGAGGCTTAAGAATCACTTCTTCCCCAAGCCTTTTCTGTTCCAAGTCTAGGTCAGATTCCTTTGTTATAGGCTAAGATCTGTGCTCCATCTCTTCATAATTCTTATATTTAACTTATACATTCATTTTTGAGATTATTCAATTACTGTCTATTTCTTTAGTTAAACTAAGCTCTAAGAGTGCAAAGACTGTTGTTTCTTATCACTGTATCCCTAAATGCCTAGCACAGAGCCTGGCAAATAATAGGCATTCAGACATTTTTTAAATAAATGAACATACTTTATGATTTAATCATAAATCACCTTTAGCCCTGAAATTTAAGTCCTACAACTAAATTTGTCCACACTGCATAAAATAAGTGAATTATTTCTACTGTTGCTCTCTTTCATGTAGGTTTTTTATATGCTGAAATACTCTAGCTGTCATGTCCAAATTATATATTCTGCTTTTCAAATGTAAAAAGAGCCTGGGAGCTAAAGGGGCTTGGCTCATCAAAGCAGATATAAATTACCCTTCATAAACTTTGGTTGGTATTTTCTTAAAGTAACAGAAAACTTACTAATTTTCTTGCAGTTGTGAAGCACAAAAGTGGCAGCTTTGTTTAGTTCCTCATTCTGAGATTCAGTTAAGGCTTGTATCATGAGCGGAAGCCCATTGTTTTTAAAAAGGTCATACTGATTTTCCTCTGGAAAACATCAAAAATTAAAGACAGTTATTTTATCATAAACTATCTGCATGAGGTCAAAATTCTTCCTTGTGATAATTATCAACATAGTTCAGGTTTTAAAAATGGAGAAAAACATAAATAGTTTCAAAGAATTTTCAATTTAGAAAAAAATCCCCTTATATAAAATACCTAAGTCTCAAAAGTGATGGTCTCTGAAATATAGCCACAGAATAGTATCATGCCTCATAAAAGTAAACAAATTGCCCTCACTTGTTTTTTAAAAAGGTATAGTAAATTCTAAATTATACAAAAGTTAAGAAAAAGAATAGAGAAACTGATAGAGGGAGTGGAAAATGAGGGACAGAAGAGAGCAGAGAGGAGAGTAGAAAAATGGGAGGGGAGGAAGAGAAGAGGGAGGAGACTCAAAGAAGAGAGAATGGGAGAGAGAGGAAAGAGGAGAGGGTCAGAGAGGAGGAGGCAAGAGGGCAAAGAGAGAGTGGGAGGAGATTGGAGAGAGAAGAAAATAGAACAGGAAGAGAAAAAAGAGAGAGGAGAGAATGATAGCTAGAGAAGGAAAGATAGAACTTTTAAAAGGTCTTCAGCAAGGGAGAACAGGATCAGATCTGTGCAGCAATATGAAGAGTGGATTGAAAAACTGAGTCAGAAGAGAACACAGGCAGGAAGCTACTGCAATAACATTGGTGAAAGATGTTAAGAAGCTGAGGGTCTAAGTTGCAAACGTAGCACTGGAATTAGGCAGAAAGGGATAGGGAGGGGTAAACAGAAATAGAATCACAGGTCTTAATGACTGACTGCATGGAATGGATGAAGAAGGAAGGGGAGCAAAACGATTGGTTTAGTGCCTGAAGGACTGGGAGAAAGGGAGTAACGGCCTTCCATATGACTAAGGGGAAAAAAACAAAAGCATATTTCTACTCCACTATTTTAATAAGCACATTAAATAAATCCAGTACTTACCACAATCCTCTGTGCAATGACCAAGAGTAAGCATGATGCTAAATTTTTCTCCTGAATCCAGACTTTCATGAAGCAGTAATGCTAGAAGTTTTGAAACAATGTGGTATTTGGCTAGTACTACCCCAAAAGTAGCTATTGGTATAAAATAGATTAAAAAAAAGATAGTAAGTACAAACTTAGAACTTATAACTATACATATACTATTTTTCAGATTTTATCCTGGGTGAATGATATTATATATCTATATAAGATCTAATATTCATATCTCATATAACATCTAATGTGTATGTGTATATATATGTGTGAATATAAATAAATGCATTGGAATAAGATGGTGGCCTATATGGCCCTCATTAATCCCTCTTCCCATACTAAAGACATTTTACTAAAGTAAGTTTTTTGAAGAATGGTTTCTTCTTAATTGTCCTGCATAATGTTGTGAATATGAAGTAATGATATTACCTACTAAAGTTGTATATGCTAAATTTCACCTTACACACCTCTTCTTATCTAGATTGGACAGTAAAGACCTTGCTAAGTAACCAGTTCCTGCCTGTCACTGAAATACACTATCCACTGGCTATGGTTCTACTGATGTGAATGATGTAATGAAGCATACCTGAAGCTACGCTGAGATGTCACAAAATTCAAGAAGTCCACCATGTAAGCTATACTTCTCCTCATGAGGCTTTTAAAGGAGTTTATCCAGAGTCTAACAATATTGATTTCAATAATAAACTTGTGAATTCCTTAAGGGACTATATCTTAATCATTTTGGTATCTCTACAGCTCACATAGAGCCAAACACATAACAGGCCCTCAATAACTGATTTTTTTTTTAAATTATCTGCTTTTTTTCAGTTATTTGTGAATGTCAAGAGTTGCTTGTTACCAAGATTCACAGACTATCATTCCTCATTGTTTGTGCGTGTGAGAAGCAGCCATGGGTTCAAGTGTGGTTCTGCGACTCACTAGTTATGGTGCATTGGGTAAATTAAACCTCATACTTATCAGAAAGAGGCATACCTTAATTCTTTATATAATCCTAAAAGATCTGTAAATTGGGCTTTCCATTCCTTATGTTTCCAAAACGTCCCTTGATTTCTCATCTAAACGTTTTAATTTAATGTTGCTTTTTAAGCGAAACAAAGGTTTTGGAATGATAGAATCTTATCTTGATTCTATCATTAGACAAACTCAGAAGACCTAGATTTGAACCCCTGGGGAAGTCATAATCTCCATGGGAAAATAAAGGGTTGGACTAGATAATTTCTAAGATTCCCTCCCACTCGTGAGAAACTGGAAGTCCAAGCCACGTTAGGGTTCAATCTACCATTTCAACTCTCACCATGCTAAATTCAAACAAAACGCAATTGTAGAAAAATTACTAAGCATTTTCACTCACGATTATCAGCAATGCACGCATCCACTGTCTTTGTCACCACCACTGCAAGCTTAGCACTGGAAAGAGTCTTGTGTGAATCAGATTCCAGTTGCACAAGAACTTGAGACAATACATCCAGTCCACCCACAGATATAAAGTGTTTCTGAACATATGCTTAAGGAATAAAGTAGCAAAACTATGAATATCTCAAATAGGACAGGTGTATGGTCTCATTCAATTAATTCACACAAGTATAACATTAACTTGACTTTTTCAAATGCTAAAAATCTCAAAATTACAGAATTAAAAATCTAATCTTTACCTGTGCATATACATAGACATAACATAGATTATTTATGTAAGAAACTCACTTTGACATAGTATAAGTACATGTATAATACAGTATTTCTTTCCTGTGTTTTAGGCATCTTTTTTGTTTCATTTAGTGAGAACTGGTATATTTTGTAAAAATGACATTATTAACTCAAGTCTTTCAATAGAGCTATAAAGAACAGATTCATTCATTCAGTTTGGTATTGCAATTAGCAAGCTGCCTATTTCTGAATCCCAACATAACTCATTCCTCAGATTGCTTGAATCTACAAAGGGCAAAGTAATTTGTTCCAAAAGAACACATATTTCATCCATCTTATTTAAGCCTAATTATTTTACTTCTTGGAGCATAAAATTATAACATATTATTGAGTTCCAACAATTATTCCAAGGAAAGATTCAATGACAGATAAACTTTTTTAAAATCTAAAGCCTTTTGTTCTCCTGTTGAAAATGATTCTGATGGGAAAGCATCCCTTGGGTCTGTGCATTCAATAGTCTCCACAGCCCCTATCCAGCAATGGGCTAATAACAAATGAATATATGGACTAGTGATTATAATTATGCCACAAACCTCTTCCCAGTCTATCCTAGTACCATAAATTGAGCCAAGATGATTTAAACACCAATACTACTTTTCGTATTGTTCAATAAAACACAAAGATCTTAATCTAAAAAAATAATCATGTTCAGAATTTTCTGCTTCTGGGAAAAGAACTGTTAGGAAGTGATATTTAAGGACAAGCAAATATTTTCAATATTATGCAGATTCCAAAATTGGCTTCTTTACTACAAAGTATTTTCATTAAAAAAAAAAAATGCTGGGCCTGGCCCCATGGCCAAGTGGTTAAAGTTTCGCAAGGTCCACTTCAGCGGCCAGGATTCATGGATTCGGATCCTAGGCATGGACCCACTCCGCTCACCAGCCATGCTGTAGCGGCATCCCACACGCAAAAAAATAGAGGAGGATTGACAGAGATGTTAGCTCAGGGCTAATCTTCCTCAAACAAAAAAAAGAGGACAATTGGCAATGGATGTTAGCTCAGGCAAATCTTCCTCAGCCAAAAAAAAAAAAAAAAAAAATCCTGAAAAAAGGAAGTATTTTTAAGCACTTAGACGAAAATGGCATTGTTACCACAAAGAATTTTAGTTACAGCCTATGTAATGAAAATTCAGACTTATAAGTAGAATATCCTAGTCTACACCTGTACACTGAATATTTCAAATTTCCTCTAATCTATATTTCATACCAGTTTGCTAAGAGTATTGAGGTCCTATGACTATTACTCTTCCAAGTTGGCTTTTGGAGAAAGAGGAAATATGAAAGCATCATGGAAATAGACTCCAATTTTTCAAATTAGAGAGATATGTTCCTTTGCATATAAAACATGACTATTGGTTTTAAACACCTGAATATAGATAGACACCAGCAATGTATGAGAAAGTTCTAGTTGCACCACATTCTCATCAAATATTTAATATAGCCTTTTTGCTTTTAGCCACGCTAGTGGGTATACAGTAGCATCTCCTTGGGATTTTCGTTAGGATTTCTCTGATGACTAATGATTTTGAGTATATTTTCAAGTGCTTATTTAATATTCATATCTTCTTTGTTGAAGTATCTGTCCAAATCTTGCCTATTTTTTCTAATCATTAGGTTGTTTTTTGTCTTATTGATTTGTAAGAATTCTTTATTATTCTGAGTACAAGTTCTTTATCAGACGTATATTTCACAAATATTTTTCTCCCAGTCTATGACTTGCCTTTTCATCTTCTTAGCAAGATCCCTGAAGAGCAAAACATTTCAATTTCAGGGAAGTCTATAATTTTTTCTTTAGTGGCCCATGCTTTTTGTGTCCTAAGAAATCTTTGTCTACTCCTAAGTTATGAAGATTTGCTCCTATGTTTTTGTCTAGAAGCTTTATAGTTTTAGTTCTTACATTTAGGTCTATGGATCATTTCAAGTTAATTTTTGTATACTGTGTAAGATAAGGATTGAGATTCATATTTTGCATATATATACCCACTTTTTCCAGCACCATCTGTTAAAAAAGACTATCTTTCCCCACATGGAATTATTGTGGTACTTCCGCAGAAAATCAACAACTATATATGTATGAGCCTATTTCTGGGATCTACTATGTCCATCGATCTCATATGTCTAGATTCACACCAACGCCACACTTTCTTTCTTCTTTTTTTAAAGATTGGCGCCTGAGCTAACAACTCTTGCCAATCCTTTTTTTTCCCCTCCTTTTTCTCCCCAAATCCTCCCAGTACATAGTTGTATATTTTAGTTGTGGGTCCTTCTAGTTGTGGCATGTGGGACGCCACCTCAACGTGGCCTGATGAGCAGTGCCATATCTGCGCCCAGGATCCGAACCAGCAAAACCCTGGGCCACCAAAGTGGATTGCGTGAACTTAACCACTCGGTCATGGGACCAGCCCCCCACACTTTCTTGATTATAGTATAGTAAGTATTGAAATCAGGTAATATAAATCCTACACTTCTTGTCTTTTTTCAAAACAGTTTTTACTATCCGAGCCCCTTTGCATTTCCCATGTAAATTTTAGAATCAGCTTGTCAATTTCTACAAAAAGCCTGCTGGGATTTTGAGAGGGAATGCCATGAATCTAGAGATGAATCTGAGAACTGAGATTCTAACAATATTGAGTCTTACAATCCATGAGTATATCGCCCCATTAATTTAGGTGTTATCTCAGAAATGTTTTATAGTTTTCAGCATATAGACATTGCACATATTTCATTAAATTTATCCCTAAGTATCTAGTTTTTTTGATATTATTGTAAATGATAGTTTCCTTAAGTTCCCAATTGTTTGTGGCTAGTATATAGAAATACAATTGACTTCTGTATATGACTTTGTATCACGCAATCTTGCTAAAATTACTTATTAGTTGTAGTAGCTTTTTTGTAGACTCTTGGGATTTTCTACAGACAACCACATCCTATACAAATAAATACTGTTTTTCCTTCTTCCTTTTCGATCTCTATACCTTTCATTTCATTTTCTTGCCTTATTGCACAGGCTTGGACCATCTAGTAAAATGTTAAAGTAGTGACAGTGGCCATCCTTGGCTTTTTTCCAATCTTAGGGGGAAAGCATCAAGTCTTTCACCATTAAGTATGTTGGCTGCAGTATTTTATAGAGGCCCTTTATCATACTGAGGAAGTTCCCTTTTATTCCTAGTTTGCCAAAAGCTCTTGTCACAAATGTATATTGAATTATGTGAAAAGCTTTTCCTGCATATTTTGAGATTATTGTGTAATTTTCCTTTTCTAGTCTGTGAATATGGTGAATTTTCTAATGTTAAATCAAACTCACATTTCTAGGATAAATGCCACTTGGTCATAACGTATTATCCTTTCTATATATTGCTTCATTTGATTTGTTAACATATTACTACGGGTTTCTGCATCTATGATCATACAGGACTTTGGCCTATAGTTTTCTTGTATTGCCTTTTTCTAGTTGTAGTCTGGGAGTAATGCTTATAAAACGTGTTGGGAAGTGTTTCTTGCACTTCTATTTCCTGGAATAATTAATGGAGAGTTTTATTTTTTTCTCCTTAAATGTTTGGTAGAATTCACCAGTGAAGCCATAAGAGCCTGGAATTTCCTCTGTGTTAAGGTTTTAAACTACAAATTTGATTTCTTTAATAATACAGGAACATTCAGGTAATCTATTTCTTCTTGAATGAGATTTGGTAGTTTGTGTCTTTCAAAGCATCTGCCCAATTCAGATGAGTTGTCAAATTTAGTGGCCTAAAGTTTTCTACTATTCCTTTATTATCCTTTTAATATCTGTTAAGATCTATAGTGATGTCACCTCTCATTCCCAATGTTGGTAATTTAGGTCTTCTCTATTTTGTGATTAGTCTGGTTGAAGGATCCATTTTATTGACCTTTTTAAAGAACTAGCTTTTGGTTTCATTGAATTTTCTCTATTCTGTTCTTTCTCTATTTCATTTTTTCTTTTTCTGATCTCTTTATTATTTCCTTTCTTATGTTTACTTTGAGTTCAAATTGCTTTGTTTTCTAGTTTCTTAGGTGGAAACTAACATAACTGATTTGAGAGCTTTCTTCTTTTCTTAAGCAAGCCTTAATGCTATAAATTTCCCTATAAACACTGCTTTTGGAGCATTCCACAGTTTTTTTAAGTTGTATTTTCATTATCATTCAGTAAAAATATTTCTAATTTCCTTTATGATTTATTCTTTGACTGACAGGTTTGTATTTTTTTGTTTTAGCTTGCTTTCTTTAGTACTGGCCTGTTTAATTTCCAGATATTTAGGGCTTTTATAGATGTTTTATTTTTACTTATTTCTAATTTAATTCCATGTAGTCAAAGAACACAATCTGTGGGTTTTCAGTTTGCTTATCCAGCTATTCTGTTTTGTGAGGGTATCTGGGGAAATTCAAAACTATGCTGCCACCATCTTCCCACTATCTTCCTAACAATATCTACTTTTAAGATTTTCCTATCTGCAATAGTCCAAATGCATCCAAAATGACCCAAGTCACTGTAATAAAATCAATCCATTAATTTAATTAATTCAATAATTAATTCAACAAGTTTTGTTATGCTTTGAAATATTTTTCTTCAAGTATAACCTAGAGAATAATAAATACTTACTGTTATTTGCAAGAGTAAGTCCAATAAATGAGCAAATAGGGCGAATTATCTCAGGTTTCATGCAATTGATTAGCCAGTCATTAGCATGTGGGAAAAGTGAACAGCAAAGCATTTGATTCTCATCTGAAAGTAGACAAAGTCAATCATGCCTTAATATATTTGGAAAATGTCAGCTTTCATTTGTTTTTGTCTTTATTTTTACCTTTAAATATTTGAGATAATTACCATTTTGAGGATTGTTGACACAGACACATAGAGTACTACACACTGAAGACCACAACTGATAACTCTGGAAAACATTTTCATCTGACAAATTCAATTCATATTTTGAAAGAGCTGTCCTATTAGATTAAAAAGAAAAGGAAGCAAATTAATACAAATGTGTTAAGGTCTTAAGTAATAAATAATTAATAACAAGAAATTTATATTTGCTTACCTGAACAACTGTGACAGAATTGTTATACAACCTGTTTCTCGCACAAGCGTTTGTCCAGTCCCTTAAAAAAATAGTCATACTTTACATGAATATGATTTTTATTTAGAAATAATTTTGCAAAAATGGAAAATGACATTTAAGTAGTATTTTCAATAAGTAACTTTTAAATTGCTTTAAAGCATTACAAAGTATAAGAATTATAGTGGATAAAAATCTGTCATCAAGATTATTACGGAAAATACATTTACCTATGTTTATAAAATGATAGTATTAAAATTTCCTCTAAAAATTATAAAACACTTGTTTTGCATGGTTCTGTGTTGCAATACCAAAGTATGCTCCAAAACAGAAAAACATAAATTCAAAATAGAAAAATAAAATCTAGAAGTGTTTTAAATGCTTATAAAATCTTTAACAATTTGAAGACATAAATAAAGCAACGTTTAAAAATAAACTTTGCCTGGGCAATAGGTATACAGGAACACTCTGTACTCTCTTTGCAACTTTTCTGTAAATCTAAAATTATTCCAAACTAAAAGCTAAAAAAAAAAAAACCCAAATCTAGCTAAGAGCTATATGAAATTTAAAGCTATTGCTGGCTGATACAGTAAACACTGTAACTAACTGGCCAATTCACTGGAAAAATCAACCAAATTAATTCATTAAATGACTCTCTTTTGCTTTAAAGCTGTTCCTTTTCAATGTTAATTAAACAGTACATATCACTTTACTATTTCCTAAAATTAACAAATTTCAATCAAACAATTAAATGTATGCTATTAATTCTCTTTTCTTTAAAGCTAGTAGTTCTCAGAAATTAGTAACATTAAAAAAGACACTGATATAAAGCTTAGAATAAAAGGATTAATATTGACTGTTCCAGTTTATTATTTTTTAAAATGTTTTTACAACATAAGAAAATGTACTTACTATTATTTGAAACTAGAACCAAAATAACATAAACAGACATTCTTTTCAAATTTGTGTTTGAATCATTATCAGATAAGAACCAAGCTAAGTCTTCAAACAATTCTGAAGTGCACAAAGTCTGCTGACAGTAAACTGAAATATAAAAATATAATTTTAATTTCTATGTATTAGCACAAACAAGTTTTACGATATGCTGAACAAAATATAAAGTTGCCAGACAGAATGGTTCTTAACCAGATCTCATTTCATTTGACATTTATTAGCCATACAACAAAATTTCTGACAAATTGATGTGTGCTTAGTAAATTAGTAGACGAAAGAAGCAATATCTTAAGCAGTACTCAATCTAGGCTCTAAAACATGTATCACAATCTCATGGAATTTCTAATAAAAACCTAACAAAAAATAAAATATAATAAAAAAATTTGAAGAGAATAGGTTAGTAACAAAACACAGCAAGAGAAAAATTCAAGAAAAGTCATAAAACTGCTTTAGAAAACAGATACAAATGATAACTGTCCTATTGTTTTAAGACTTTTCTACAAATAAAGATACGTTTTCAAAAAGCAAAAATGATACCTGACAGTGGGGTTTTTTGTGTGTGATAATCATGCAATAAACAGAATTTTTTTTCAAGTAATTTGAATATAGGGATATAATTACCATTTTATCCAGTGTGCAGAACCAGCTATTAGATATTAGACTCTCTCTCAAAGGGAAGGACTACATCTTACTTATTACCAATGCCTAGCACAGAGCTTGGTTCTTAACAAATGATGAAGATATATTTAATGGATGAAAAGATAAGAATATAAAGTTGTTTGACAAACAATGGTTTAGATTCAATCTCATTTCAGGTATACTACAGAAAATATTTTTGCCAACAACAATTTCTATACCCAGAATATATTTACCCACACACAAGATGGTTGTAAGTTATCTTTATCTTTTGATTTAATTACCTGGATATAGAGACAATGAACAGAATTAAAAAACCAGAGGTACACCACCACATATTAAAATTCATTAAGTGATAATGGCAGTATCTCAAATCAATGTGAAACAAACCTACTTTTTAATAAGCGTAAGAACAGGAAACAACTAATGCGTATCAACATAATAAATATAACAGAAAAATAAATTAAAAAGAAGTGTTAGGATAGTCGGATTACCATATAAAAAAAGATAGAAGTGGAGCCATTCATCATACCATAACCCAGGAAAGTTCAAAAAGGACAGGAAATGTAAAACTAAATCATAAAACCATACAAGTACCAAAAGAAAACGTGGGTGGATTGCCTATAACCTGAGAGTATGGAAAACTTTCCTATGACTCAAAATCCAGAAGCAAAAAGGGGAAAGATTGATGAATTTTATTTTCATAAAAATAAAAAAAACTTTTGCATGGCAAAAAGAAAAATGGTTAACCATAGTAAAAGATAAAATTAAAAAAACATTTCCAATTAATAGCAAGAAAAATTGTGAAAGATTTTGAAATGGATGAAAATGATTACTAAACGTCCTGTGTAGCACACCCTTCTAGATTATCTGGGCCTTTCACAGTCTTTGGGCTATTTTACAACTCTGTAAATTATATAAAACTGATAGTAATGCAAGTTATTCTTGTTCATAGAAATGCAAAACATTTTGGCCAGCGGAATGCAATTGATTTTTGCCCTGCAAATACTGACCAGTTATATGCCTATTTATAAATCCATTTCAGCATTCCTAAATGCCTATATTGTTTTGCCACTAATTTTGAAACAGTTGTAACATTTTACTTATTCCTTCACAAATTAATGTTAAATAAAATCTCTAGCATGCATTAATTTAAATAAATAAATAAAGTACCTGGATAAATCTATCCAGACATGTAAAAAAATGAATTTCATTCTAAAATTATTTTTTAGTAGTTTGTTAAAGTATAACACAATGTGAAGGAAAACACAAAATAAAGTTTTAGTATTTTACCATTTTGTTCTGCAACAGTTCCTAATGTATACAAGGCTGCTTCTTTTACGACGTTATGTTCACTTGACTTTGCAAGATCTTTTACAAATGTCAAACCACCAATTTCCCTAAAATAAACACCTGCATTACCTGTAGGGTGTGCAGAGAAAACAAAACAGAAATGATATTTATTTGGATTATTCTTTTATAGATAAAATAAATCACATGAACACAGTAATATAACATGTAGAGTAACTGAGTGGAAGACAAAGAACTAGGCACATTTCACATATCGCAATACTCAAGAACTAGAACCACAGATAAAAATTCATTATCATGTCTTACTGTTCTGGTGACAAATTGAATGAATAGTGACCAAAGCTTCCTTTTGTGAAAAAGGGTTGTCCATTTGATACTTTAGACACTCCAATAATAAGTTCAGGTCAGTCTTCATTTCTAAAGAACAAAAGTTTCATTATTTTAAACTGAATGTTTTCTTTCAAAAACTAACCACTTAAATTTCACTTTCTAAATACATATCTTTGTAAAGTTTTCTTTTCAAATAATAAGTGTATATTACTTTTATAATCTAACAAACAATAAAGATATATAAAAGAAACACGTTCTTTAAATAAAAGAACTTATAATTACTTGGTTTTCCCCTTGCATGAAATATATGAATAGAAAAAGCCAAATATTATTCTCTTTAAATAAAGCTACACTGGTTTAAATATCTGCCATTTAGAAATGAACTGAATGAAATGAAAATACAACATGTCAGAATTTGTGGAATGCTATTAAAGCAGTATTTAGGAGAGAATTTATAACATTAAACGTCTAAATTAGAAAAGAATTAAGGTCTCAAAAACAATGACCTCAGCTTCCACCTTAAGAAACTAGAAAAGGGGTAAATTAAACCTGAAGTAAGTAGAAGAAAGAGAATTATAAAGATCAAGGCTGAAATCAGTGAGATAGAAAACAAAAAAACAACAGGCTGTCTCATTGAGAAGATCAATAAAACCAATAAACCTCTAGTGAAACTAATCAGGAAAAAAGGAGCAAAGATACATATTACCAATATCAGAATGAGAGAGATGGCATCACCACAGATTCTATAGATATTCAAAAGACAATAATGGTTATGTACATACCTACTTTATGTTACGTACTTCATACCTACAGATTCAATGACTTAGGTGAAATGGAGAAATTGCTTGAAAGACAGAAATTACCAAAACTCACTCAAGAAGAAACAGATAACCTGAATAGTCCTATATCTATGAAAGAAATTGAAATCCAGAGAATCTTCCTGCAAAGAAAACTTCAGATTCAAATGACTTCATTTGTAAATTCTTCCAAACACTTAAGGAAGAAATAGTATCAGTTCTACAGAAACTGATCCCAAAGTTTGGAGAGAAGGAATACTTCCCAACTTATTCAATGAGGTTGGCATAATCGTTATACTAAAACCAAAGCCATTAGAAAGAAAAAAAGAAAACTACAGACCAATATCCCTCATGAATATACATGCAAAAAGTCTAAACAATGTTAGCAAATTGAATCCAAGGATATATTAAAATAACAGTACATCAAGACCTAGACGGTTTATCCCAGGAACGCAGAGTTGGCTTAAGATTTGAAAAATCAGTCACTGTAATGCTACAAATTAAAAAGGAAAATCATATGGTCATCTCAATAGATGTAGAAAAAGCAATTGATTAAAATCCAACATTCATTTCTGATCAAAAAAAAAAAATTCAGCAAACTTATAATAGAAGGGAATCTCCTCAACCTGACAAAGTATACCTACAAAAAAAAAAAAAAACCTACACTGAACATTATACTTAACAGGGAAAAACTGAATTCTTTCTCCCTAAGATCGGGAACAAAGAAATGCTTAACATTGTATTGGAGAACCTAGCCAGTGCCATCGGTTAAGAAAAAAGAAATAAAAGTCATCCAAGTTGGAAAGAAAACAGGAAAACTATCTGCATTCACATGTGACATGATCTTCTGCGTAGATATCTGATGGAATCTACAAAAGAGCTACTAGAACTAATAAGCGAGTATAGTAAAATTTTAGCATATCCATTTAACATACAAAAATCAGTAATATATTAGCAATAAACAATTGGAAATTGAAATTTAAAAACAATGTCATTTACAATAGCATCAAAAATATGAAATACTTAGGGATAAATCTGACAAATGATATGAACAACATGTACACTGAAAACTAAAAAATACTGCTGAGAGGGGCCGGCCGGGGGGTGCAGCCGTTAAGTGTGCACGTTCCACTTTGGCGGCCCAGGGTTCACTGGTTGGGATCCCAGGTACAGACACGGCACCGCTTGGCAAGCCATGCTGTGGCAGGCATCCCACATATAAAGTAGAGGAAGATGGGCATGGATGTTAGCTCAGGGCCAGTCTTCCTCAGCAAAAAGAGGAGGATTGGCAGCAGAAGTTAGCTCAGGGCTAAGCGTCCTCAAAAAAAAAAAAAATACTGCTGAGAGATATTAAAGAAGATTGAAATAAAGGGAAATAATGGGTTGGAAGACTAATTGTTAAGATGTCAATTCTTGGGGCCGGCACTGTGGCTGAGTGGTTAAGTTTGCAAACTCCGCTTTGGCAGCCCGGGGTTTCATCGGTTGGGATCCTGGACGTAGACATGGCACCACTCATCAAGCCATGCTGAGGCAGCATCCCACATGCCACAACTAGAAGGACTCACAACTAAAAGTATACAACTATGTACTAGGAGGCTTTGGGGAGAAAAAGGAAAAATAAAATCTTAAAAAAAAAAAAAAAGATGTCAATTCTCCCCAAATTGATCTCTAGATTCAATGAAAACACAACAGGCTTTTTTGGTAGAAATTGATAAGCTGATTCCAAAATTCATATGGAAATACAAAGGACCTAGAATAGCCAAACAATTCTGAAAAAGAATAAAGCTGGAAGACTAACACTACCTGAACTGAAGGCTTATTATAAAGCTATAGTAATCAAAAGAGCATAATATTGGCATCAACATAGACAAATAGATCAGTGAAACAGAATACAGTCCAAAAATAAACCCATACATATATGAATAGCTGATCTTTTACAAAGGTAAAAAGGCAATGCAGAGGGAAAAGAATAGTCTTTTCAACAAATGGTGCTAGAAAAACTACATACCCGTATTCAGAAACATAATAAAACAAAATTTGAATCCATACTTCACGCTAGACAAAAATTAACTCAAAATGGATTGCAAACCTAAATGTAAAATCTAAAACTATAAAATTTTTAAATGATAACATAGGAGAACATCTTTGCAACCTTGGGTTAGGTGAAGATTTCTTGGACACAACACTAATAGCACAATCTGTAGGGGGAAAAAAAGAATAAATTGGACTTCATCAAAATTTAAAACTTCATTCTCTTAATAGTATTTTCTGAAGTGTATAAAAGACAAGCCACAAACTGAGAGAAAATCTCTGCAAAGCACATGTACATGCAGAAAATATATAGGCCTCTCAAAACTCAACAATAAGAGGACAAACTACTCAATAAAACAATGGGCAAAAGATTTGAACAGATACTTCAACAAAAAAGATATACAGATAGCAAATAAGCACACAAAAAGCTGCTTAACATCATTAATCATTAGGGAAATGCAGATTAAAATCATAAGGGGATACCATTACATTCCCACTAGAATGACTAAAATTTAAAAGACTGACCATAACAAATGTTGGCGAGGATATAAAGGAATTGGAACTCTCATATACTGCTGGTGGAAAGATAAAATGGTAGAACCACTTTGAAAGTTCAGCAGTTTCATAAATTGTTAAACATATACCTACCATTTGATCTAGCCATTCCACTCCTAAGCATTTACCCAAAAGAAACAAGATATATGTCCATACAAAGACTCATACACAAATGTTCATGGCAGCATTCTACGTAATAGCCAAAAACTGTAAACAACTAAAAGGTCCATCAACAGATGAATGAATAAAGAAACTGTGGTATAACCATACAATGGAATAGTACTTAGCAATAAAAAAGAATTACCTATTGATATATGCCACAACATGGATTAATCCCAAAATAATTATGCTGAGTGAAAGAAACCAAACAAAAAGGGAGTACATACTATGTGATTCCATATACTGAAAAAATGCAAAGTAGACTATAGTAACAGAAGGCAGATCAGTGGTTGCTTGGGGAAGGGGAGTCCGGAAAGGGATAGGAGAGAGGTATTAAAAAAGAGCATGAGGATATGTTCATACCTTGATTGTGCCAGTGTTTGCATAGGTATATACATATGTCAAAACTTATCAAAATATAAACTTTAAATACTTATTTGTAGCTAAAAAGGAAAACAATAGATGGTCATTTTCCTATAAAATTCTTTACCAGAGACTTTAAAAAATTTCTTATCTTGCTTTTAAGGATTTAAATAAAATTGTATATAGACTTTGACATATGCGTGAATTAACATTTAAAGTTCTCAAAGATACAGGATGAAGGGAGGACATAAAAATATAGAGGAGCACACTAAAAAAACTAAAATCTATTATCAATCAATAGTCTTCCTCTTGAAAGAAATTCAACTGGCAATGAAATAATTCATGACTCAATTTGTTAGTGAAAAACCATAGTACAAAGGTTATCATTAAGTTGTCTCGGAGCAACAGCAAACACTTATTGGTCATGTTCTACATTAACAGAAACCGTAAAGTTTGACTGTATGGATATCAATAAGCCACTCATCATCAATAACATGCCAAAGAGGATTTTTGATGGGGCATGGTGATTTCCAATTCTAGGCACAAGTGCAGAGTGCAAGAAACGTCCCTACATACTCCTCTTATTTCCTTCTGTACTCCCCTCTCGTACTTTGACATTTCCTATCATAATCCCTCCCTTCCCAGCTAAAGCACCCACTGACATCTACAACTCGGTTTTATCTTCTCCAGGCTATGCAACTTAGTCCCTTAAATAATTCCTTAAGAAAATAAGCAAGCCAGCAAAAACTGAAGTATACCATAAAAGCACAAGCAATAAAAAATGAATAAATTGGACTTAAAACTGAAAATTTTTGAGCTTCAAAAAATATCATCAAGCATGTGAAAAGAAAACTCACAGACTGGAAGAAAATATCTGCAAATCAGATATCCAATAAGGCATTGTGTTCAGAAAGAACTCTTAAAACTCAATAATAAAAAAAATCCAATTAAAAATCACACACATCCTCTGCAACACTTGTAGTTTCCTGTCTTGTTAATTATAGCCATTCTAATGGGAGTGAAGTGATAGCTCATTGTAGTTTTGATTTGCATTTCCCTGATAGTTCATGATATTGAACATCTTTTCATGTGCCTGCTGGCCATCCATATATCTTCTTTGGCGAAATGTCTGTTCAGATCTTTTGCTCATTTTTTAATTAGGTTTTTAGTTTTTTTGTTGTTGAGATGTATGAGTTCTTTATATATTTTGGATATTAACCCCTCATCAGCTGTATGGTTTGCAAATATTTTCTCCCAATTGTGAGGTCGTCTTTTCATTCTGTTGATGGTTTCCTTTGCTATGCAGAAGCTTTTTAGTGTCATGTAGGAGATATCGCCTCACTCCCATCAGAATGGCTATGGTTAACAAGACAGGAAATAAGTGTTGGAGAGGATGTGGAGAGAAGGGAACTCCCATACACTGCTGGTGTGAGTGCAAACTGGTGCAGCGACTATGGAAAACAGTATGGAGATTCCTCAAAAATTAAGACTAACTACCATACGATCCAGCTATTCCACTGCTGGGTATTCATCCAAAGAATACGAAAACACGAATACGTAAAGATACATGCACCCCTATGTTCACTGAAGCATTATTCACAATAGCTAAGTCTTGGAAGCAAGCTAGGTGCCCATCAAGGGATGAAGGGATAAAGAATATGTGGTATATACACACAATGGAACACTACTCAGCAGTAAGACACGATGAAATCTGGCCATTTGTGACAACATAAATGGATCTCGAGAGTATTATGCTAAGTAAAATAAGGTAGAGGGAGAAAGTCAAATACCATATGATCTCACTCATAAGTAGATGATAAAAACAACAACAAACAATCACATAGAGACAGCGATTGCATTGGTGGTTACCAGAGGGGAAGGAGGGAGGAGGAAGGGCAAAAGGGGTGATTAGGCATATGTGTGTGGTGATGGATTGTAACTAGTCTTTGGGTGGTGAACATGATGTAATCTACACAGAAATCGAAATATAATGATGTACATCTGAAATTTATATAATGTTATAAACATTATTATAAACAATGTTACCTCAATTAAAAAAAAATCTGAGCACATGAACACCAAAATACATCCATAAGTATGTTCATAAAAGCATTTTCTACAATAGGCCCAAACTGGAAACAATCCAAACGTCCACCAACATTAGAATTGGCTTTTTTAGGTGTGATTTAGTATACAATGGAGCACTACTATAGAGTAATGAAAATGAATGAACTCAACTACATGCCATGACATGGACAAAGCTCATAAACAACAACATTGAGCAAAAGAGGCAAGAAACAACAAAATTCATAAAGTATGATTCCATTCAAACAGAGTTCACAACAGAAAAATATTTTATTTAGAAACGTACCCACAGATGGTAAAATTTTTTAAATGCAAGGAAATTATTATAAAAAAAGTCAGGATAGAGTTACTTCTAGTAGGTAGCAATAAGGCTGTAATTGAATAGGAGTCCACTGGAGGCCTTTGGGTGGTAGCAATGTTCTATTTCTTAACCTGGGCTTTATCTAAATGGGGTGAGTGTGTGTGTGTGTGTGTGTGCATGTACTTTATGTATGTTATATAGCACAATAAAGACAAAAGAAATTTTAAATGTAAATAAAAAAACCACACAAGGGATTTAAATAGACATTTCCCCAAAGAAGATATACAAATGGTCAGTAAGTATAAGAAAAGATGCTCAGCATCATTAGTCATTAGGGAAATACAAACCCGAACCACAATTAGATAGCACTTCACATCCACTAGGATGGCTACAATCAAAAAGACAATCTATAACAAGTGTTGACCAAGGATTTTGAGAAAGTAGAGCCCTTATACATTGTCGTAGGAATGTACAATAGTACAGCCACTTTGGCAAACAGTCTAGCAGTTCCTCAAAAGGTTAAGCATAAATTTACCATCGACTCAGCAATTCCACTCCTAGGTACATACCTAAGAGAAATGAAAACATATGTCCATACAAAAACTTATACATGAACGTTCATAGCAGGATTATTCATAATGGCCAAACAGTGGAAACTCAAATGTCCATCAACTCTTGAATGGATAAATAAAATGATATTTCCATTCAATGAAATATTACTCAGTGACAAAAAGGAATGAAAATACTGATACAAGATAGATGATCCTTAAAAACATTATGCTAAGTGAAAGAAGTCAGTCACAAAAGCCCACATATTATATGATTTCATTTGTATGAAATGTCCAGAATAGGCAAATCTAGAGACAGAAAATAGATTAGTGTGCCTAGGGTTGCAGGGGGGTGGGGGGAGGGGGGAGGGGTGCGGGGGGTGGTGACTGCTAAAGAGAATGGAGTTCCTTGGGGGGTGATGAAAATGTTCCAAAATTGATTGTAGTGATGGTTGCACAATACTGTGAATACACTAAAAACAAGTGAATTATATATTTTAAATGGGCAAATTGTGTGGTATGTTAATTATATCTTAATAAAGTTATTATATATAAAAAACCAAATTACTAGTATGCTTTGCAGTTGACCAAATGACCAAAGCAGCCCCTATCACAGTTCTTTTGGGTGACTGACATGGATGTCGGGAAACAGAGAGTCCCTTTCCTTTCCAAATTTCAAAATGTACGTAAATTTGGCTAGTCACTTCCAAGGCCAAACTTTGGACCCTTGTCATTAGTCAAAAACAGCTCTATCACTGATATTTTCAACTCTATTATTTTACTTTTTGAATATTTCCCCTAATTCTTTCAATTGTCTTACTTCCTTATTCTTATATTTACTCCTTGACCCCTAAGATCTCTAATTCCTTTAAGTTCTCCAAGACTTCTCATTTCACTTCCTTCCCTATTCATCCCAGATGCCAGGATTCATCACCTCACCGATTATCTTGCTAGGATTCTTTTGACTCCTAGTCTTTCCAATAAACATATCTTATAATCTTAATCAAGACTCAGAAACACTTTCCTTTCTTTGTTTTTTCAGCTCAAATTTGGGCACTGTTAAAGGAAAAAAAAATTTAAGCAGTTATACCTTACAAATATCTTGTATGCATTCCAAGTTACAGCCCCTGACTCTACTTAGTAATCCCATCCAAGGTCAGCTCTATCTCCCACTCCCTTCTGCTTTGCCTCCCATTTTCCTCAAAGGCTATTCTAAATCTTCAGCTCTCTTCAAACCTCCAACCCCAGCCCCACATCTCACTCTCTTCCATTTCATGTTTTAATTTGGGTTTCTCCAGAAGTAGACCACGAGACAGGGACTTGAGCACAAGCACTTTTTTAAGAAGGTAAAATAGGAAAGGGAAGACAGACAAAAGAAAGTTATTATTATGGGTAACTAGAGCTTAATCCTACTGGGAAACTCTAGAAGCCAGGGTAGAGCCATGTGTCTCAGAGTCATCCCTGCCAGAAGGTGAAGAGTATTTATCCATCAACTCCCATCGGTCATTTGCTTAGGGCTGCTCCCAGGGAAAGGGTCATTAATTACCTGGCATCTCTGGCTTGCCTTGCTCTCTGGGCAAAGCAGATTACAAACACCAGAATAAACCCTCAGTCAAAAAGACACAGATTAGTTAGGCCTGACAGAATTCCCGAAACACTTTCTACAGTACAGACTTCCTACAAAATATCTACAGCCACACCCATTCTTATCTCTTCCTCTGCAATATCAGAACAGGTATCCAGCTCCCTTCCTGTTCATGGTTAATCCATTCACCCGTGTTCTGGGACCCTTTAGTGACTACAACTACTATAGTTTGGTGGGGGTTTTTCCTGTCCAGAATGATTTCCCTCCTCCTTGCGGTTTCTTTGGAGAACTCTTCCTCACAACTCTGTTTCCCAGCTGTAAGAACTGATACATTTCCTTTTTTGCTTGAACTGGTTTGAGTTGGATTTCTCTCACAGGCAACTCAAAAGACACTATTATAGGCTCATGACCTCCTTAAAACTCTATTCTTTTGACAAATCTTTACTGAATGCCTACTACGCATCCACTCTGTACCCGACAGGATTCTGATTCCAAGAACTCATAATCTGGTGATGGAGACAGAGAAGGATGTAGGTAATTTCCGTAGTGCGATAAATGGTCTGAGAGGGGCGTCTACGATTATCCTCTCTCTAGTTTCTTCATCTTCTTCTCCAGAATGCCCATTCACTCTTCATATATTCCCTTGTCTCTATGCCCCTTATAAGAACCTGTTAACATTACAACCTCCCTCTAGCTACTGCCGTATATCTTCAGTCAAGCTTTTAAGACGAGTAAGCTATTTCATATTGTCTTCAGATTCTTATTTCCCAACCATACCTCAACATACTGCAATCTGGCTGAAGTTTATTAAATGTACTGTTAATAAAACAAATGACCTCCTAAATGCAAAATCCAGTGGATAACTCAGTCATCATCTGTGGACATTTGACACTAATGCTCTCAAGCAATCTTTCTGATGAAGCATTCTTAAGGCTAATTTCCAAAATATCACATTCCTGACTCTCCATTCACCTTTCTGAATTTTTCTGTCTTTTGAGGGCCCTCTTCCTCAGCCAAACCCTTATGTAACGGTATGCATTAAAGAACACTATTCCCTATCCTTTCCTTTTTATATATTTCCTGTCTGGTTAATCTCCATGCCCATGGATTTAATTTCCATCTTTCTAATGACAACTCTGAAATCTGTACTTCCAGGTATACTTTGATAGTGGTTCTCTCAAGTTCTCACTGTTCTTGTACATACCTCCAATAAACCAGTTATCATATGGTATTCTAATTATCAGCACGCCTTTTTCTATTAGAATGTCAGCTTTCTGAAGTCAGTGTGACAGGCACAGTGTACGTACACAAAAAATATTTATATAAATTGCTGAATGATTCTTTCATTTCCTGGATCCTGTCAGATAATCTGCAGTATATCCCACAAATATATTATAAAACTAATTCCAGATACAGTTATATGTCACTTAGCGACGGGGATATATCTGAAAAATGCATCATTAGGCGATGTCATTGCTGTGCAAACATCATAGAGTGAACTTACACAAACCTAGACAGTATAGCCTACTACACACCTGGGCTACATGGTACGAATCTTATGGGACCACTGTCATATATGTGGTCTGCAGTTGCCCGAAACGTTGTTAAGCAGTGCATGACTGTTTATGATCCATGAATTTCTCACCTTGTATTTTCTTTGTGTCCTCACTTTCCATGCTTGTCTGTATTCTTTCTCCTTATATTTCATCTATAAGATAAAGTGTTTTCTCAATTTAAATCAATGTTTGAGAATTTCAGCATTATAAATGCAAAAGGGTAGGGAAAGAATAGTTTTCCTGAAACCAGACGAACAGGGATTGAATCTACAACTTACTGGATGTGTGATACAGGGCGTGCTTAAGTTCTCTGAGGCTCAGATTCCTCAAATGTAAAGTAGACGGTTCCTACTTCATTGAGTTGTTACAGGAATTAAATTTGAAAACATACATGAGCGCATCCGGTTTTCTTAAGCACCACAGGCATTCAACACATTAAATAAACACATGGATGATTGGTTGACTGAATCTGACTGATCTTCTTCTGGTCCTACTTCCTTATTTTCTTTCCCATAAATTTTCATCCCACTGTTTCAGATTGGGCACCCCTCCAAAAATCAGAATCAGAAGTTGAACACACACTTTGGAATAGCATTTCTCTTAACAAGCTAAGTTTAATACTAAAAATTTTTCTAACAATCCATGGTTCTTTCAACACAGTATTCCACTATTGAGCTTAAATCTTTGTTTATATATCATTTGTTAGAAGAATTTTAAAAATAACTGGCAACGCTGAAATGGCTTCTCATATCCTTTAAAATGCTAAACCGATGTTTTAGAAAAATGTAACAGATTCCAATTAACTTCTTAGAACAATAAATTAGGACTCACAGAACTCCAAAATTATTATTTACTCCAACACTATGTGGTTCAAGGGAGATACCTAACTATCCTTTCTATTTTTAATTCTCACTCTCAAAATGAAAACAAAAATTCCCACTCTCAAAATGAAAACAAAAATTCCCAAACAAAAAATTTTTAATAGTAAATGTGAGAATTTTTTATAAAGTAATGTACAAATACATACTAGCTTTGCCATTTTTAAACCTAAATATTTCATTAAAAGAAGACTGGTTAGGTACATTATAGTACATCCACAGGATACGGTTACAAGAACCTTGATGTTTACTCTAAATGTTTAATAGCAAGGAAAAATGCTTCTGTTACAATGTTAATCAAAAAGAGCAAGACAAAAATTTTATCTACAGCATGATCCCAATGATGTAGAGGCAAACATAAAAACTAGTTGAAAGACAGGGACATGCTGACACTTGCATTCTTTAGCTGGTGGCTCTATGGTGTTTTATTCCACTGTTTTCTATTTTTCACAATTTTTACAATAATAAAAGCTTCTGACTTTCCGCAAGTCCTATCATAGGCCAGGCTCTGTTCTATAAACCTTACAAACATTATCTTTTTAATCTTTACAGCAACCCTACGGGGAAGCAATAAGGATAAAGTCAGATGATGAGAGGGTAAACAATTTGCCCAAGTTCAAACAGCTAGCAAGTGCCAGAGCTGCCAAGAAAACCTGAGGCCGGGCCCTACACTCTTACGCCCCAGTATACTGTCTCCCATATGTAAACATGCATTACCTTCAGGCAAATGGGTAAAGATTTGGAAAAGGAAGACTAAATTAAAAAACAGACTGCTAAAAAAATGGACTACTGTATCACATGTGGAGGTTTTTGCTTTGTGAAGGAATTTAAGGACTATTCTCTTAGTTTTAATCAGTCAATCTATTCTGCTTTTTAATACAATTTTATTTTTAAAGAGGGATATAATTTTTAAATATAAATGTCTTGAAATCGAAACTGACAAAACACACTACCGTCTATTCCCCTTTGTCTTTCTTATACCGTTTTCTAATAAATGGTTACTTTGCACAGTAAATTTAAAGTTTGCCAAGTACCTAGTAGAGTTACACAAGTCATATACTTTCTAGCTAAGTGCTTAAAACCATCCACAGCAAAGGACAGTAACTTTCAAGGGACTGATAATTTAAAAATTATACTTAAAATTATAAAATACAGTCTATTCCCAAGAACAAAACCATCTGCCCGATAAAGCAGAGTATTATTTTCAGTAATTTAGTGAAGATGCAAATTGTAATGAACGACAAGATTCCAAAATGATTTACTGTATTTTCACAGGAAAAAAAAAAGATTTTTCCAGGTAACAGGAAGAAACTACCCCATTTACAGGATCCACTCAATCTACTTCCAAAAATAGTACTGTTTAACTCAAATCCAAATTTAAGCAAGAAAACTAGCTGAACTCTTTTACTTGGCTTAGAAAACGTTAACATGAAAAGCTTCAGAAATCTAAATATCCCCCCAAATACCTGAAGGATAAATGCTATCTTTCTGTGTAAGGCTGGGGGGGCTGAAAATCCTACTAACTGCCATGACTACATTGTCGACATTGAGAAATAAGCGTCAATCGGACCAGGAAACAAGACTGGGGCGCCCGGAGCGGGTTCACGCCGCCACACGAGCGCCTTGGGCCGCGGTAGGCTGGCGCCGCCGTTCCGCGCCCACACTCGTCACCCCGCCCCAGCGTCCACGGAACCCGGCGCACGAGCTTTCTGAGGCGGCGAGGCCCCTCCGCCGCTTCCTCATCCGCGCTCATCCTCGCACGGCCCGCTCACCTAAAGGGCTGGAAGAACTCCTTCCGCAGCGGCCCCTCAGGCTCCTCCGAGAGCGTTCCCCAGCCCCTGTGAGGACCGCGCCGGTTAAACGCGCCGTCGGGCCCCACCGCAGGCGACTCTTCGGTAGCGGGAGGGCCCGAAAGGCAGCCCAGGTACCGCGCCCTTCCCTCAGGGGCCGCCTCGACCCGAGAACCGATGTCCCCGTGGCTCCCACCCTTGCCTACATCAGAATCAGCTGGGGAGGCCCGGGTATGCTCAAGCACAATCGGGTCGGAAACCGCCAGCCCCCAGAGGCCTAAGTGGTAAGTGACAATCGCTTTGCCAGAGGCTGCGGGGACTGCGGCCTCCTCAGGAAGGCCCCTCGCCCCTGCTCAACCCATCCCCTCACGTAGGCCAGTTAAGAAGGGAACAGCGGGGCGACCCGCATCCTGGCCGCTATGAGGGCCACCCCGGCCTGCGGCCGCCTGCCACGACGGAACGGTCCCAAGGCGGGCCTGGGCAGGCCCCGAAGGCGCAGGGAGCAGAGGCCGTGGCCTTTACCCTCAAGTCACAGCGCTTGAACTCCCCCGCTTTCTCCCTTGCTGCCTTCCTACGACGACGCCACCTGACCCGTTTTCCCGCCGACCCGGCCACACGCACTTCCGCAGGGCGGGACTTCCGGCCGCCCGCCCCGCCCCCACGCGGCATCTCTGGGTCGGCTTCTCTTCCACGACGTTCCCATGGGCAGGCGAGAAGCAAGGGTGTGGATGTGGGGTCTTTAGCAGTGGGGAGTCACTACTTGAAGGGGAAATCATCTAATCTCACCACCCCCTGTTTTTAGGGCTTCCATTGTCCAGACGGGCATTCACCCGAGTTAGGAGAGCCAGCTCGGGCTCTGGGACGGTGGGCACGGGGCTCGCGTGGCAGCACGTGCCCAGGCCTGGGGGGCGGGGAGGCCCGCCCGGCCCTCAGTCCTCGCGCACAACCTTCCCTCCGCGTTGTATCCGGTCCTTGTTTTCTGATAAAACTATGTATCTGAAATACCTGTCTTTTAAAATTCCATTACTTTTACCAACCGGTGATGGTCATAAGATGTCCGTAGCTAAAATCTGCACATAGCTTAAATTCATGATTTAAGACTTATGTAAGAAAACTATTTTAAGCTATTTCTAATGAAACACAAAAGACTTCTAAGATAACTTTGAAATAGCAAGCCAGAAATAATGAACTCAATTAGAAATGGGTAGCTTTTATTCTCTGAGAAAATGACTGCTTCCTTTCCCCTCCCCTCCAAACAACAAGACTGCATTATTACAAATGAGAATAATGTTTATTAAAGAAACAATTTAACAGTTCTCCCTTAGCAGAACTTGACAGACTAGAGCACAACCTGAAGGCAATTACAATTTCAATCACTAACAAACTACACAGGGTGCTTATTCTACAACTGGAAAGTTGCTGACGTTTGTGACATGCCACTGTAAATGTAAGTATTATTAAAAATTACAAATTGTTTGGTGATTATTTTGATAACCTCTTGAGCAGCAGCTCCTGCAAGGAAAAAGGAGAAAAGCAAATCTTTGAAAAAGGTAAATTTCAAGAGTTATGTAAAAATACTCAATTTTGTAAAGAAAACCTTTCCTTTTTAAAAGCAAAGGTGTTTAAAAGTAATTCAAAACAGACATAGCTTACTGAGTCATATCAAAGCAAAAAACAATTTTTCTAACTGTTATTAAAGGAAATAAAAGTTTGTCCTATACATTCACACCTTGGAATAGTATGCCACAGTTTAAAAGAATGAGGTATTTTTAATTAGGGTGGTATAGAAAGATTGGCAAGATATATTAAGTAAAAAAAGTCAAAACAGTAGTATAGCTGATTGCACTTTTTTAAAGGATACATATAAGCAGAAAAGATTCTCAAAGGACACCCTTCTGTTGCATTTGAATTTTACCTTGTGCCCGTTTTACTTTTATAATAAAAAGGGAGTAAAGGTATATTTGTTCTAAATACATTTACAATTTGGAAAGAATCTATATTAAATACTGACAGACTGCTCTAACTACTCAGAACAGAACAAAGAATAGAAAAAACAAAAAACTACCAAGAAAAAGAATTCTTCCTCTTTTATAATCTGAAGCTTCATCTTTCACAGACATTCACTGATTCAATAAAATTTGAGACTCTGCTACATACCAGATACTGTTCTAGGCATTGGGGTACAGAAGGGATCCACAGACAAAAACCCTTGCCCTCATGGATCTTACTTTTTAGTAGCAAGGGAGAGATAAGTAAGTAAAATGTATAGTATGTCAAATGCCCCTTAAGTGCTAATGAAAAAAAGCAAGGAAGCGGGGATCCCAGTGTAAGAGGAGGGACTCAGTTTTAAATCAGGGAGTCAGAGAAGGCCTCACAGGGAAGGTAAGATTTAAACAAAGACCTGAAAGAAGTGAGGGCACATAATAGCATTGTGCCACTTAATAAAACATCCTGCTTCACTGACCTCCCTAGTTAAAATAGCTAAGAAAACAAAAGTTCGTAACTGTAGTCTATGACAACAGATGACAGTCTTCTCATCTATGGAACTCACCCCCTAAGAACGCAGCAATGGTGTGTGGCTCAGCAGCTCCGTATCGGCAACTACAGGAAAGGATGGAGACAGGAACTTAGATTAGCTTACGACAGGACAGGTATTGTCTCTCATATGCCCTAAAAAATACTCACAATTCGTGGACATAATCATCTTTCACCATTACAGATAATCCATATTCCTGAAGGAAGCCAGTGAGACAAGACTTCAACTTTCCTATATCTTCTTCAACTTGATAGTTAGATACCCCTAAAAATATACAGGTAAATTAGTTTTCATTAAAATAAATAAGGAATTCAAAATTAATGGCTACCACCTTTATTTAATCCAGTTTCAGGTGTTCTAGTCAAAACAGTAAGGTGTGAAACTAAAGTAAAAACAAAAATAATGGCAAGTATGAGACCAGTATTTGCAAATATCACAAACCTGTAACAAAGAAACTATCTAAAACCTATTAAAAATTTGAATTTGATAAGTCTGCTTTATTCACTGCTCCATACGCAGTATCTAGAGGAGGATCTGGCACACACTTGGTACTCAATAATTATTTGATAGAACTGAATGAATGAGCAAGTAATGTCCTATTTATACCCTTTGTAAAAATTGTGGTGTTTATTATCTATTTCCAGAAGATTAAATGACACTGAGGACATAAAGCTATAATAGGTAACATTTGTTCTAAGTACCATATATATTAATTGATTTAATCCTCACAACAACCCTATGAAGTCATTACTATTATTATCCCCATTTCACAAATGAGAAAACTGAGGCACAGACAGATTAAGTTATTTGCCTGAGTTATTAGCTCATGTATAGCAAAACTGAGATATAAGCCCAGGGAGTTCTTCATGATTAAACTATAATGTCTCCAAAGGTGAGCTATTATTATTATTACTACTGGAAGGAAAAATATAATTCCTGTAACATTCAGGTACTATAAATAAATCAAGATTTTTTAACCCCTCTGGTTTAAAAACTATCATCACTACTCTTCCTCGTAACAGTAATACCTCCTCTTTATTGAATACTTACCAGGTGCTAGACAATGTGTTAAGTGATCTTCATACATCACATACTTCACCCTTACAATCTAAGAGTAGATACTATTATCACCATTGCATAAATGAGAAACTGAGACTTGGAAGGAAATAGTGACCCACCCAAGGCCAAGAGATAATAAGTGATAGAGCTTGGATTTGAACCTAGGTTTAACTCCAAAGCCTGTGCTCTATCTGGTAGCTAGTCTCCCAAGATGGCTCCCCAATGAACACCCCTTCCTGCCCTCGTGTAGTCCCCTCCCACTCTTAATCTAAGCTGGCCCTGTGAAACCAACAGAACATGACATAAGCGATGCTGTGTGACTTCCAAGGCTAAGTCATAAAAAGCCCTATAACTTCCACTTGGATATTTTGGCACGTTAACTCTGGGGAAGCCAGCCACCATGCAAGAAGTCTACCCTAGGACTGCCATGCTAAAAGGAAGCCCTAGCTAGCCATGTGGAGAGAAATGCCTGACCAGCCCCCAGCAGTTCCAACTATCCTGACTCAAGTGCCAGACACACGAGTGAAAAGGTCTTCTTGCATGTCTAAGTCAGTCAAGCCTTCAGGATGACTCCAGCCCCAGGCGTCATGCAACTCCACGAGATCCCCTCTTCCCAGTGAGAACTGCCTAACTGAGCCAAACCAATCCTCAAAATCACAACATAACAATTTATTGTTTTAAGCTACTAAATTTTGGGATGGTTTGTTATATAAGAGATAACCAAAAATATGTTCTAACCAAATAATACAAATAAAGCAATATACATTTGTTGTTTATTCCTCTTCTTTCTTCTGGTAAGCTTGCTCATTAAGACTATACCTTGGTAGGCATACTACATCAGTAGGGGCAGGCGGTTTTATGATATACCTAGACTATACTGCTATGCAATAATCCTGCTCAATTAAAATTAACATCTTAAAAGTATTCTGGGCAACTGAAGATCTTTGAGATTATGCCAATTCCCCAAGTACTACATTTACAGATAACATAAAATAGATACTGAACAAAGAAATCCCTACATCTTCAGAGTTCTGACTTCAGAAGTCACTAGCATACTTCTTGTGGCTTTCCTATTCCACTGAATTGAACTCAGTGGGAGTCTTAAAGGTAAATTATGGAAACTGACAGAATAAAAAGTTTTCTTCTACATGCATTCAACCAACATTCCCGTTATACTTTAGAATCAAAAACTATTTGCAAATAGTTACACTTAAAAGAACAAATGGTAATTCCTCCCTGAGATGAACTAAACTGTTTATAATGTAAAATTCAAGCATCACTATTGTAAACACCCCGAGAACACTTTAAGTTTTAACTCAATTTAAATTGTGTTCATTCCAGATTTTATTATATTTGATAATTCAATTGCTATTCTTACCTGGATATCTACCATGTTGTTTATGAAACCTATCAACAGCCCGTAACATTAAGTATAATACTATCTCATTATCTGGATTGTCCATGCTGGAAACTGAAAGGAAAAAAAAATTTTAGTGTAATATGGGTAATTTACAACATAAAAACAATGCAGGACTGAATTTACTTATTTACTCAAGTTTCAGGACACAAGGCAATTTTATCACAAAATTTTGTGACAATAAAGTAGAAAATGATAAATAATAGTAAAATAAAGGGAGCTACATTAAGATAAAACCCAGTGGTCTTACAGACTGTTACCTAGTCACATAATCTCTACTAAAGTAGTAACATGCTGACTTTTGCTCTTCTACATATCATGCAACTTAGTGACCTAAATATGGGTTTATGTATACACTAAGTTTTATATTTTGAAATAGGACTACTTGGATAGATTTATAGAATAACATTTAAAGTATAAATATTTCTGTTATCACCAAACACTCAATACTATTATACACAAAATATTTATATCTTTAAAATTAATAAACTAGCATCAAAAGGTTATTATACTTACTAATTTCATCCTTGTTAACTGTATCCAAGCCATATTCTTCAGCTAAGGATCGACATCTTACTACGCGAAGAAATGCAGAATTGCTGCCTGAACACAGGAAAGACATAAGTATACGGTCAAGACACGTGAATACTCTAAACCACAGGTCACTTTACGAGCAGAAAATTGTGTGTACATTCTTCACAGACATGGAAATGTAAAGATGTCTTCTGTTTGGCTCTAATGGTAGCAGAGAAGACACTAGAACATAAGTCATCTAATATTCATGTCCTTGGCGCTACAACCAGTTCAGCACTGAATAAGTACATGATGGCATCCCTCTGAGCCTCAGATCATCCCTATTTATAAAATGGAGACAATACTGTTCACCTCTGAGTTGTTCTGTGGATCCAGTGTGCAACTGTGTAAAGTGCACACCTAGCACAATGCCTGATAGGGCTCAATGAATAGTAGTTTTTATCATTATTATCATCATCATCATAATTATCATTATTATTAGAATAAGTAGACCTAAAGGAGAGTGTCCTGTATATTGTGCTCTTGGTATATGCAAGACTTTTTTTTTTAAACTTTGTATTATGGAAATTTTTAA